TCAGTACAAAAATCTATAGCGCAACAAATCTTCGAATATAATTTCAATCCTATCATATTAGAAAACACCTAAACCTATCATCGTGGTCAGAGACGTAAACGCACCCTGTTTATTATATGTAGAAACTAACTTTTACCGGACACTATCCCATTTTTAATTTTTTTTAAAAAAATACTCCTTTTGATTAAGCTTTTTTAATTAAGCCTTTTAATTATAATTTTTATTAAAAAAAACTCCTTTTAATTAAGCTACAGATGATTTATTGTTCTATTCTATAAAAGGAAACTCTGAAGTTCTCTTCTCTTTGAATTGAATTTCGAAAAATCTTTACATATTTTCTAGTCATAAATAATGCATTTTATTGCTTTCCTGGGGTGGTTGAATTAGGCGTCGATAAATAAGCAATAACTTTGCATTTTATATGTATTTAAATAAACAAATATTTCGTATGTGTGTTTCGGCAAAATGGCACAAATGGAAATATTAGCTCGAATACGGAAGGTTCCACTATGTAAGCGTTTTTTTTTTTTAATAATTAATATTTGACGTTGAAAGGTGCCAGGTTTCAACAAAGCTATTTCAAAATTAAACATGATAAATAAATTACGATAGGTTTGTTTTTTAATTTTTAACCATGATACCACTGATCCACGAGCACATCACAACTCACAATTTTACGTAATCATGAATGCACTAACTCATCTCAAGTTAATTTCAATAAACTGAACAATAACACGCTTCGCTTGTGTCTTTTGTTGGTGTATTAATAAAGAATACTCTCTCTCTCTTTCAGTATCGGATTTTTATCGCGAGTTTTTGATGATTACAGTTTATTACTATTATAATTTAAATTTATTGATAAGCTTCTAGGTAGGTACTTCAGGGTTCGAATGGATAATTGTTTTGCGTTTCCTAACTGCGCAATTACCTATTTTAATATTAACTTCTATAACTCAAATTACCTATAAAATCACTAGCTATATACGTCACAGATTGTTATTTAGTTCGGACTCAACAAAATCGCATTATAAACTAAATTATTAGCCTACGTAGGCAGACGAGCCGCCGCTATTGCCGCCCCTGCCATTACCAGAGTTAATAACATAATACTTTTCAAACATGATCACTTATAAACGTTCATAACGTTACGTTAAAGACATGTAAGTTTCTGAAAAACTCAAAATATACCAGGTGCCAATTAACAAACTTCCGATTTGTCAAAGGTGATGCCGCCTCAGAAGTCAAAAGTGCGGTTAGTCCTTATTTAACTAAATTAAAAACATAATCGTTAAAGAAGCTAGCGGTTGTGGAATAGCTTACTATTTATATGATCACTATTTATTTTACTGGTGGTAGGACCTCTTGTGAGTCCGCGCGGGTAGGTACCACCACTCTGCCTATTTCTGCCGTGAAGCAGTAATGCGTTTCGGTTTGAAGGTCGGGGCAGCCGTTGTAACTATACTGAGACCTTAGAACTTATATCTCATGGTGGGTGGCGCATTTACGTTGTAGATGTCTATGGGCTCCAGTAACCACTTAACACCAGGTGGGCTGTGAGCTCGTCCACTCATCTAAACAATAAAAAATAAAAAAAAGATCACACGAACACTATACATTACGATTAATATTAGGTAAGCACACGACAATATTCACCTTCGACATTTCAACGGAGCTCGCCTCTGTGGGACCGGCGAGCTATGAACGCTGTCGGGAAACACCAAATTGTGTTTCAGCGCCAAGAACTCGGGGGTGCTCATCCAATTAGGATTACCTTCGTCACACGAGCTAAGCGATAGCGACCTAATATACCTGTCGCTCGACAGCGAATCAGGGGTCAGATCAACGTTTTCTATAGTCGGATTAGCGATTGTAATGTTCACAGAGGTCATAGACTGAGATCTCACGTGTTTATCATATATAAACACGTCGTTCTTCAATTCTTCCTTCTCGAAGCTGCTGAACACGTTGTCTTTTCCTGAATCAATTGATTTTACTGTTGGCTTAGAGCTGGAAGATAGCTCGTCTTGCGTCGTATCGTTCGGCGTGTACCTAGTGTCGGTAGACTTTAGGCTCTGTTTATCAGAATTAGAATTGAGGCTTGTCGTCTCCGACGAATCAGAGAATGCATTTTCAATGTCATTCTTTATCGATATGTTCGAATCGTTGTGCGATTGTGTGTAAGGTATTTGCCTCGGAGCGGTCGGTTTGTTGACAACACAGCCGAGCTCATCGCTAGGACTGGTTTCAACCGCAGACGGACATTTTCGAAGGGTAGAGTTCGGAATCCAATTCAAAAACAAAGTCGGACGTTTAGCGTTATTGTGCTGATCGGTAAACACTTTAGTCGTGATAGTCAAGTAGCCGGGGTGATGTATGATATCTAATTCGTGCCTCGCGATCGTTGGAGGATGGACGCAAACGTTATTCTTACAGAATAGTATTTCGTTGTCGACGTAATCAGGTGGGTCCTCGTCGTCGAAGTCGATGCCGAGAAAATAGCTCGAAGCTCGCCTAAGTAGATCAGGAAGGGGCATTGTTCACATTTCCTTAATGGAACACAGCGCAGTAGTGCGACGCGACGTTATCAATGGAGACGGCCTCATTGAAGCGCCGCTCCGCGAGTACTAAATGCTGCGCGCATGTAAACACCTACACAGCTGCGTTGATAACACACTATTGATCCGAATACCGAGCAACGAGCATGTTCTTAACTAACGTCACGACATTTATTATGACGCAGCTTCGTGAACAATTTGCATATATCTACGTTCCAAAATGAATAAACTTGATTAATTTAAAAAAGAAAAAAAATTCCGATGTATACAAAACTGGAACTTTTTAGGCTGGAACCCCTGGGATCATAATTATTTTTCTCTTGTATTTATAAGCTCAGCATGATCGTGGCGTGTATGAAGAATGGTCGATGTCCAATAGCGGACGGTTGTGACCTATTAAGGACCGCGGAGCCGGTACATAGAAGGTTCAGGACAGAAGTGTTTGTAGGTTCACCTGGTGGGCGAGCACGGACTCAGACAGGTCGGGTGAAATTTGCTAACAGCTGCCCGAGCGCCTCCCAAAGAGACACTACAGTTCAAGGGCACCTGTTTCGCGAATGCATCTCATACTGGATCGGAATCGGATAGGTCTGTGATGGCGCATTCTCCTCCCAGTGAGGGTCACGAAGCGATCTGAGGGGCTCGAGTTTGCGCGGCACGCTACCGTTACTCCAGCGCTATTGGAGGATGCGGCGACGTGGTATGGTCATCGTCGCCGGACGTACTGTGGGAAAGCAACCTGCTCGTTGGAATGTCACATTCGGACTCGCTAGACCTAGGGTACACGAGCGGCACCGCCCGGGTGACATGACGAGCTACCGTAGCCTGGCTTCGTTGGTAGGCGACGATTGCTTCAACGATCCGTCGGTCGAGACTCGCGACGAAGAGTGGCGTCGCGAGTCTGGTTGTAGTGTTGACCGCGGGAGCACCCGTATTCTGCCCAGACTCCGACCCCGGACGGAGATCGGACGTCGGATGAAAGATTGCAAAGGGAGTCGTTTAGTAGGTCTGTCAAAATATCATTGGGCCAGCGGTCAACTCCCAGCGTCTGCGGACCCTTAGGCATCGAAACTTTATGTATGAGGTTCAACCCTCTGTTGGAAAGAAAAAAAAGGGTTAAGTTTCAAACTCTTCGAAGAGTTCGATGAAATCGGGTACTAGGCCCCCTATGCCTGCTCCAAAAGCTAGCGTGTAGATACTTAATAGTTTGCTTTGAAACGTTAGTGAAACGGTTGGATAAAACAAACCTACGGAGCGCATAGGAGACATACCATGAACGCTTATGCCAACTTTAAGATATCATAAGACTGAAGAATAATTGCGTAGGTGCAACGATTCCACTACCCTGTAAACGATAGTGAATAAATCGATATTTCATATTAATATTCTAAAAATAGTACAAAAAGGGGCAAACAAAAGCTGCCATGATTAATGTAGCGACATCTGTATACCTTAAGAAGCAATACCAAATTACGTAGGTGTACCGATACGTGTAAGACGAAATATTATTAATTTATCTGATTCTACGCCTGCTGCAACTGTGACACTAACTATTATAAAGCAATACACTAGAAGTAATCCCGTAAAAACCTGAAGCGTGCTGAATACATTTAAAAGATAAGCTTGCATTTAATTACTTTGCAATTTTTTAACAACTATATCTTCTCTTTCTACTTTACCCTTAAACGTGTACGATAGTGCCTTGTGCGATAGAACCTACTCCGGTAGGTAGTCTCTTCAATTTTATAGATTTTTTAGTGATATCAATGGCAGACGAGTCTGATACATACGGTTGTAAGTAGTCGTAATGCGGACCACAAGCAAACCTCTCGTATAACGTTGTAAAATGTTCAAATAGAACACAATTTTTTTCATTTTTGATACCTATGGACTTTGGTTTACAGGTAATAGGACGTCTTGTGAGTCCGCACGAGTAGGTACCACTATCCCGCCTATTTCTGTAGAGAAGCAGTAATGCGTTTCGGTTTGAAGGGTGGGGGTAGCCGTTGTACTGAACTGTGACCTTAGAACTCATGTCTTAAAATGGGTGGTGGCATTTATTTTGTAAATGTCTACGGGCTCCGGTAACCACTTAATACCAGGTGGGCTGTGAGCTCTTCCACCCATCTAAGCTATAAAGAAATAAAACCTCTTTATTACTCACATGGTATACTCAAAACTCACAAAACTATATTTTTTGGCGACTTCATTAGAGGAGTACTTAATTCAAGACGTATGTAAGATCTTTGTTCTGCATTATTTTCTAACTAAATGAAGTCTCCACAAAACATATTAAAAAATTTACATTTATAATACAGGTTTAAAAGTAGGTGCAGATGTTAAAGTCAATTTTCAAATTATTCGGTAAAACGGAACGTATATTTTTTACTAAGAATTCCGAAAGATGGCGGTTCCGCTGCATAATTTATTGACGCATGCGCCACACATTGCAATCAGCTGTCAGAAAGAATTTATTCTTGTAAAAAACAAAATTATTAGTGTCTTCAGATAATTCCCGTCAAATATGGCGGGGCAAAATCCAGGATCACCGACCGACTTTCAATATTTTTATGAAGATGAAGTTTATAAAATCAACAACCGGGGCCAAGTGGTTTTCGGCCTAGTGCTCGAGAACTATGAAGCTAACTCCAGTGACCAAGAGAGCGACATTGAAACACCTATACAAAAAGGAGAAATTCGTGTTGTATGGCATCCTTCCGGCACAGAACGCGTTATATCTGAGAAATCGGTAAGCAAGAATACAAACCAAATGACACGATCACAGGAGACACCGGTTTTAATTAATCATATTTCTATAAAACGATTTTAAATCAATGTGATTGTACGATCTGGGTAGGATGAGTGCAAAGACCTTTTTATCTCGTGTCATAGATTTAGTTTTAAGATGACTTATGACACATCTGAAATAATTGCGAGGGTAAAAAAATAATACCGTTTGCTACGTCGCTAAAAAATTTAGCGTAAACGATTCACAAGGTATTTAGAATGTCGAAAAATAGCAGAAAACCTTAACCAGTCAACTAACGGGAAAATTATCAAATAAAACGAATGTTCTTTATCTTATTATTCTAAACTAGAAAACAAAATCCTGAACATTAAATAAGTATACAATAACATAATAGTAATTTTAATATTTAATAAAAGAAACAACATTTTTTTGTGGCTACAATAGATTTTGTTTCATCGAATTCCAAATAGAATATCTGCCGCGTTTCTAATGATATTTATCTCTAATATAAAATACACTTGAAAAATAATATAGATAAAAAACCAACTGAAGAAACGTTCTTCATTAAATACCAGTAATTAATTCTGTAACCTGGTGCTAAAGGGGCTGAAGTATGTTGTTTTGTGAAAGAAGATTATAGTGCCAGTTTATTGAAACAATAACATAAAATTTAGTGCTTTTGTGTTTAGTTTCTCAGTAAAATTTCAAAATTTACTATGTGAATTTAGAGGGTTTTAATACAGTTTATTTAATTTTATTGATGGCTCACACTTCTAATGCTTAATAATAATAATGGCAGTGTTTAATACACTATAATAATGATACTGATTTTAGTCCCACATCAAATCATAGGTTTAGGTTCAGATGTATATTTGCTAATGATTCAATTCATTTAGCTTTAAATGATAATGAATATCTAAATTGACATCTTTGCATTTTTCTTGACCAGACAGTTGCTTACTGAACACAGTATATCAACAGTCCTCACATGTATTTCATTGTGATAATTATTTGTGAGCATTATAATGAGGGCATGTATTAATTTGGTGTTTGTCTTCTTTGATTCTTATGGTAGACTAATAGACAATAACATGTGAAATAAGAAAACACTGTATAATTTTGTAGTAAATTATGATTCATTTACATTAAAACATGGATACAGTATAAAGATAATAAAAACCAAAAAAATTCAAACCAATATTATTTTTTTGGCATTATTGTGCTCTCCTCATTGCTATCATAAAAGGCCTTAGTTCAACATCTTTTAAACAAATAGCAAGAATAAAAATAAGTGTATTCAAGTACAAACAAGCAAAATTAATATGAAACAAATAGCAATACTTTTAGCTTATTAAGAATTGTTGTAGGGCTTGAATTTACTAAGCCAACTCGCAGAGCTAATAGTTCTATTGGAAATGCAAGTTCATCTGTCAGTTGTCTTTGTAACTGTGGCTTGCATGTAAAATCATTGTTAGATATGTCCAGTTACGCCCTACTGTTCGAGCACTGTACTGAACTACTTTAACTTTTTAACACATTATAATATAGTCTTCTTTGTACTTTGATTTAGTGAATATAATCTAAAAAATGAAATTCTAAAATTGCTCTTATTAGTCTTGTGTGACTGTGAAAAGTAAAGTATTAGAAATGTTTGAAATAATATGTAATATAATGATAATAATAATATAAATATACCATAAAACTTATAATAAATAATGTAAATCAACCATAGAGAGACCACAATATTTCCCCAAGAGGTGGAATATTTTTCAAAATAATTTGACATTCAGCTAATATATTATAAAAATTTGTTATTCCTAAAAGAATAAGATTTATATATAAGCTAGTTGAATTTTGTGAACAGGTGGGTCTGGCAGACAGGTCCCTTATGCCAGGTGATGTGGTTCGTCGCCTCATCGCTGGCAAGGATACCCAGAGGGGATATTGCCGCGACATTGTAATGACGGCCGCCTTGCAGATCGTGGGCACGAAACACGTGATCCCCAGTGTAGCAAGTGAAAGACTTCAGCCTCTTGAAGAATTTTCCCCTGATTTAGCAGTTTGTCTTGATTCATGGGTTGGCACTTCTAAGGTTAGATTTTGATTTTTTAACTCTAAATATCTGTGTGATTATCTAAAGAACATTTAAATGGAGATAGACATTTTAAATTTATTAAGAGAATACAAATTGATTAAGGATGTTTCAATATAATTGTATCCCAAAAGTACTCTATAAGTGCAATGAGTGAAATTATTTCCCAACCATATCTAGTTATTTTAAATTAATTTCTCTATTTGATAATGTCCTGATAGAAACACATCCAATCGTCTAAATTACAAAATCAAAAGATGTATTGACCTCAAAAACAGATCATATTTTAAAAGTGTTTCTCCAGGCCGTCCACAGTAAACTACGTTTAGTATCCTCCGATGGATCACGTCTCGAGTATTCAGACCTAGACACGTGCCCTCTCGAGGACTACTCCATGCGACGTCGACGCTCCACGCCGTACTCTTCGTCTGAATATTATCCTGGACAAGTGGTTTACGGGCCTCTGGGTTCTTTGGATAACGCCAACTGGTTGCACATGACTAAGGAAATGAAGGCTGCTAGAAAACATAAGATGCATGATCATAAGGTTTGAAATTTTTTTATTGTGTAAGTAAATTTTTCTATATTAAAAAGTTTCATTTTTTTAAATTATAATGATATTTTTTTAAATAGTTTTTAATTTAGAGATATATTATATCATTACATAATTTGAAACCAAAACGATGGCATGAAAATCATTTTAATCACAATGATATTAAAAAAGCTTATATAGCCTAAATAAAAACTACACGACAAATTCCTGTAACGAAATATACTACACATAAAAAAAAACTGTTCTAAACAAGTTCTGTCCTAACAACATCCATCCCAAATAGTTTTGAAATACCAATAAACAAAAATGGTTCCTTATATGTATTTTTCAGTTTACTGTGGAAGCGGTTGTCACGGAGAGTGTGAGTGTGCACTGGCAGTGTCGTGCCCTTTGTACTCATCCAACAGAGACTGGAGCTCCTCAACAACCGAAGTTCTTCGTGGAAGGTGAGTCTGATTATATGAATTGATGTTACTTAACTCATGCTGATACATTGTAGAACAGTTCTGATATATCTTACAAAGTGGACGATAGGAAACCTAAAAGCACTTATTACACAAATATCATTCAAATTCTACAAAGCTGAGTTGGATGTATCTTCAATATATGTGACATCATTTGTTTTTTATCACATTTCAAATATTCTAACTTAATACATTTTAAATCACTAACATCCATCCATTGTCACCCCCGCCCGGGCGTAGTTGGAATAACCCCTTAGGCTACCAACGATTAGGTAGGAGGGAAAAACAGTCACAAATATTTTCATTTTCAATTAAGAATTCGCTCATTTTCAACAAAAAGCGATAGTCACACAATTACAAACGGTTTTTATATTGTCTTCTTCGTGGCGTCAGTTTGCTTATTTCTAACTACAGTGTAATAAGCATATCAAAAGTAAGAGACCAATTTGAAATTCTCAGAATTTCGACAATGACCTACCGTATGTTGTATGATGGTAAAATAATGACCATTTAAAATTTAAAAATACATATATGTATATTTCACGTAGATCATGCCAAAAAAGTGACAATGCTTTTGACATGCGCTTGAAGGAGGCACAGTTCCCAAGATACTGGCTACGTTACCTCGTTGGACAGACAGACTCACTCTCTGTGCAAATGCTTTTTCTATAATTAAAAATCAATTCATTGTTTCCAGGAGACGACCTGAAAAACTTGAAATTGCTAAATGTGTTCGAGCCGTGTACATTACAAGTAGGAGACCGAAACTTCCTGACAATTACCACAGAAGATACATTTGTTGGTAAAAAGCAATGGAGGAAACAGCAGAGTAAGTGGAACTGTTATTATCGATAGCCAATATTTTTCATCATCAATTTGGGAATATTTCACACACACACTGACCTATTCCAACTGATATTTGCTTTTGTATATTAGATTCTACTATTTTCCCTCTCAAATCCTTCTAGAAAGAACTGTTTGATTTGTTGTACTAATGCCGCCATTAACCTTGACACGTGAGTTCAGATTTGCAATATAACCTCTCAAACCGGAACATACGACCTTTGCGAGCTTAAAGCACACCCTAACACTAGTAATTAAGTTCTACTTAGAAGCTATTCCTATATGGTGACAGTCGTTTATACCCCTTTGTCCAGTCCGTTCTCAGAAAGGTAAAATAGAAAATTTCCTCACAATAATTTTTACCTACCTGCGAGATTAGAACATCGGCACAAATAAGTCAAGCATCTCAGCATTAGACCACGACACTTTTGAAATTACTCAAATAATTACAATACATCTTATTCATACAAAATGTCCACCCGCAATAACATTATAATTAAGAATCAGATTATCGTTCTCCAGGTAAAATCTACAGGAACCAACGTAAACAGACTCGTCCAGTAAAGAAATCGTCCAAATCGGAAACTAATTCTAGTGAACACGTGCCTTCGCGGCCCAAGAAACGAGCCTCATCGCACAGGAAACTGAAGCCTGCCGATGTAAGTGCAAACTGTACTGTCTTTTTTTTACTTTTTTTAAAGCTGATAAAGCGATATCCTTGATAGTCCATGTCAGCGCTGATTGCCTTGAGTGGCTATATCAGCGTAACCTAACAATTAGGTGAGCTGACGGAGCTCAAACTTAATGACGTTGCTAACACTAGCCCTAGCAACAGTGCTTCGCAGAATTACCATCGGATCGGAAACGCGACCCACTGAGAAGAACCGGCGAGAAACTCTGTGGGCTGGGTTAATTTACTCGCCAAGCCCTTCGTCGCAAGTGACGGGTTCGACAAGAACGATGACCGGTGCTTGAGGTACCTAAAAGCTCCGTTAGTGGATCGGGAGGATCCGTAATGACGTGTACAGTCTCGTTACAATGCCCTTAACTCGATACACTGTCAATTGATTTTTTTGTTAGTAGCTCTTAAGTCGATGGTATCAAATAAATAAAATACTGCAAATTAACATAAAATTAACAAACGTTTTGAGTTTTCAATTACGGTGGAAATTAAATCATTCGTTAATGAAATAAAAAATTGCATCCGCTGATTTTAATTGTTTCAGTATGTTTAATATGCGAGTTAAGTCCATTTTAATAAACTGTCTAAAAAAAGTATTGCGGTGTTCAATATTCATGGTCTTAATAACGACCTTTTTCTTTCCTACCTATTGTCAATAGACTCGAAGGCCTATTCTGGTTTCACTGGATGTGTAAGCTCACGGGGCCTAGCCGAGAGATCAGTAACATCTCCGGTCCGCTTTGTTGAATCACCAGATCGGAATCCGGTCACCGTCCTCATCGAACCCGTCGCTTGCGACGAAGGGCTCATCGAGCGAATTAATCCATAGACACATCCCACTGAGTTTTTCGCCGGATCTTCTCAGTGAGTCGCTTTTCCGATCCGGTGGTAGATTCTGCGAAGCACTGCTCTTGCTAGGGTCAGTGTTAGCAACACTCGTGTTTGAGCCCCTTGAGCTCATCTACACGCGTTAGGGTGAAACTGAAATAGCCTCTCAAGGCTATCAGCATAGGTAGGAAAAAAAAGATCGGAATCTCGACAAAGGAAATCCAAACCTCTAAATTCCTTTAAATTTGTTATACACAGAATGAAATGGAAGTAGACATGACGGAGGAGAAACTTGAAAACTTAGACGAGGTCCTCAAGGCGGACCCGAGCTGTCCCAGCATCAAGATAGAGCCCATCGGCGACGTCACACTACCCATGGCCAGCAGTCAAGAAGATACTGCTACCGAGGAGAAGAACGACTCTGGAATAAGGTATTTCTAAATTGGTGTTTGTAGCACTCTAATGATCTAATTATCCACACTGAAGTCTGGAACAAGGTACTTCTAAATTGGTGTTTGTAGGTCTCTAATGGTCTAATTATTCACACTTAATAAGAATGATAAGCAAGTTCATTTTACGCATTTAAGCATTTAATGCCTACTACACGGCGCCGTGGAGATGTATAATATGTATTTTACTGGTGGTAGGACCTCTTGTGAGTCCGCGCGGGTAGGTACCACCGCCCTGCCTATTTCTGTCGTGAAGCAGTAATGCGTTTCGGCTTGAAGGGTGGGGCAGCCGTTGTAACTATACTTGAGACCTTAGAACTTATATCTCAAAGTGGGTGGCGCGTTTACGTTGTAGACGTCTACGGGTTCCAGTAACCATTTAATACAAGGTGGGCTGTGAGCTCGTCCACCCATCTAAGCAATAAAAAAAAAATAAAAAAAGATGACCTAGTACACGGCGCCGTGAAGGATCGGGGCCCGAACGCACGGCGCCGTGGCGCTTGGCATGATCAATTTGTTCAAATTAATAGCGCGAACCCTAATGCAACACTTGATATTATAAGATCGTTACTTTTCGTATATGGCCATGTGTGTTACGTAAAGCTATCGCAACGGTGGGAACGGTATTGATGCATAAAAAAAACCATAATTGCAAACCGCGGCGCCGTGTACTCGGCCATATACGTCTCCACGGTGCCGTGTAGTTCGCATTAGCACGTCCTTACGGATCCATTAGATCCTTGACCTCCTCCATTAGAGACCTTTGCGTTAGAAGCCTTCAGCTCTAACACTAGGAGCAGGCTTAGGGACCTCGGTAACCGTACTCGTCGAACTCGACAAAGAGTTCGCCGTGAAATCTAACCCATGAATCAGCTCGCTGAGTTTCTCGCCGGATCTTCTCAGCGGGTCGCGATTCCGATCCGATAGTAGATTCATTCGCGAAGCAGCTACTCTTGAGTTGTTAGGTCTCCTTCGGAGGCGCTCGGGTAACTGTTAGCAAATACCACCCTCCTGGCTGAGCCATTGCTCGCCCACCTGTCCTGGTGAAACTGGAAAGGCCTCCGGGCCACGAGTAATCCATCAATCATAAAAAAAAAGCGCATTAAATGTCTTAACCGAGATACCGAGAATTCTGGACGCGAACGATTCCCACGAATGATTTAAAATATTCGAAACAGAAAATTTTAAAATGAAAATATTTAACGCAAGATTCCGTCTTAAATTAAATTGAATTAATATTGTAGTGGACTATAATAATAATAAAAGGCGTATAATTATAAAACGCAAAAAACATAATCGTGTTTCATGGCAATTTCTATCTCTTTCTTCTTTGCCTACATGCAGATCTTCTGTTTTTTATGTGTGAAATAAAATGTATTGTGACAAGAAAGAACACATCGACGCTTGAACGGCAAACATGACTAAGCGACAATGCGTGAACTTTACAGTAGACTAATTTAAAGTTGAAATACCTGAATAATTTTATATTTTAATGAATCTACCTGTAGGATTTAAATAATTTTAATAGACCTAGAAATATAGTTTTTTTGCGCATCGAATATGGTTATCGCCTATCATTTATGTACAAAGCAGTTATTGTCGCTTAGTCACGTTTGCCTTTCAAGCGTCGACATGTTTACTGTGTTCTACGCGAGTCGCATTTTGCATGTCTTATTTATTTTTAAATTTTTATTCATTAACACACAGATACATGTGAGTAATGCACCCTGTAAACATAGAATTAATAATATCGTGATTGAAGTGGGCTAAGTAAATCCCACGTCCGCAGCCCGGAGCCGGCCAAGGAGCACGGCTCGCTGCTGAACGGCGACAGCAAGTCCGACGTCGCCCTCAACGATGATGACTCCGAGAACTGGGAGAACACCAGCAGCGACGGCAGCGACACGGACAGGTGATGATGTTCCCTAGCTCAATGGACAGCTTAACGGTAGGCAGCTGCTTGGCTGTACCTATAGCATTGCTGATGTCCATGGGCGATGATCACTGTAGCGACACAGCTTAGTAGCGCATACAGTTTTGTACATCGCTAGATATCGTCAGTCGTTTTACTGGTGGTAGGACCTCTTGTGAGTCCGCGCGGGTAGGTACCACCACTCCGCCTATTTCTGCCGTGAAGCAGTAATGCGTTTCGGTTTGAAGGGTGGGGCAGCCGTTGTAACTATACTGAGACCTTAGAACTTATCTCAAGGTGGGTGGCGCTTAATTTACGTTGTAGATGTCTATGGGCTCCAGTAACCACTGAACACCAGGTGGGCTGTGAGCTCGTCCACCCATCTAAGCAATAAAAAAAAGTGGGAATCGAAGTCGGACCGCTGGGCCGTAGCGGTCGCTGTACTGACGAGGTTGTCGACGATGTGTTGCAGCGGCGCCACGTGGTCGTCTCGCTGCTCGTCTGCTGCGTCGCGCGGCGGCAAGCGCTCCCCGCAGCTGGCGGTGCGACTGCTGCGCGGCAAGCGGCTCAAGCGGACCGTGCGCCGCGCGCCCCCCGCCCCGCCCCCGAAGCACAACGACCGCGTCGTCGTGGAGACGCTGCACACCACCAGCCGGGCCAACGTCGTCTGGCAGGTTAGTAGCCCCTCGCCATCTTTATTCTAATCGCTTACTCGTTCGGTTAATCAAGTATAATCTAGGCGAAATAAAAAAAAGTTCCACTCGAGACTTTTTGGCGGGAACGCGAGGAGTGAAGTTGCGTGATATGTTTTATTTTGTCTATTTAGTGTTTCTTGAGGTTTAAATGTGTAATAACGGTGGTTCATTAACTGTTTAATATCTGTGAAAGTGCACAAATGTGACAAAATACAGCAAAGCCGCTGGACGTAATTTCTCGGGATCCTCCAAAAAGTCCACTGAAAAAATCTCAGTAAATGACCACCATTTTACTAAGATTATATTTCATCCCATATCATCTCATCTCATTTCATTTCATTTCATTCCAGTTGATTAATGTCGCAAATTAATCATCTTCATTTCATTTCGTTTCACTCCATATTATCATGTTTCATAAAAATAAGAATATAAATTAAAATAAAACATGACTTAAAGATTTAGTTACCAGGTCATAAAAACCCTTAAAAAAAATAGTTCCACAGGATAGACGCGGATCGCAACTAAATTGAAAGTACCGACTGAAAAAAAAATGTGTATCCTGACTGAGCTTGTAATAATAACATTTTATTGTGTTACTTCGTGTTGTTGCATATTTTCATATAGCTCTCGTTCATTATCGATAAGTACATAAAATGTGCTAATTTCAATGAGCAATGTCGTCTCCGTCTAGGATGAGATACAATAATGTCAAAAATAAAATGTTTTTAACATGAGCAAATTAACACAGGATGGTACAATTGAAATGGGCATTCCTTCGACTCAGCTGTACCCTATCCACCACCTCGATGGCCAGGAGTGTTTCCCGGGAGACTTCGTAGTTAGTGGCGCCGCTAATATCGAGGAGAACCAACAGGTATGACTTTAAGTACTAAATAAAAAAAGTTTTTATTCTTTTTATTTGATCGTGTTCTTAACATTCACAAATCATCATTTTCCAATCGAATGTCATAATTTCACCGTTAATACTAACAACAATTTTAGAAACGAAATATCATCTGAGCTCTTTGTATAAAAATGTGATCGAAATGTGAAATGACCTAACCAAATACGGAAAGAAAAAAACTAGGGATGACTTCTTCTTAAAAATATGCTGTTATTTTATTAACCTCACTTAGACTCCATTGAATATAGTAATGTGATTGCAGCTAAAACACCGAGAGTACGGCGTGGTCCAGCGCGTGGACCACCACGGCCGCACTGCCATCGTACACTGGTACCGCACGTACACGAGCGCTGATGAACCTGTGTGAGTATCAAACTTTTTTATTTAAAGACGTCAAATCGTAAAGTAGGACCTTTTTTTTGGCAAAATATACTTTTAAATTAATTCAATGCATGATAGGCTAAATAGTCGAGTTGCCAATGGCCGTAGAGGAATTGATCATCACATAACTAAATAATTATGGACTTTTTGGCGGCAACGCGAAGAGTGAATTTGTGTGATTTGTTTTATTTTGTCTATTTGGTGGTTCTTCAGGTTTAAATGTGTAATAACGGTGGTTTATTAACTGTTTAGTATCTGTGAAAGTGCACAAATGTGGGAAAATAAAACAAAGGCGCTGAACGTAACTTCTCGGGATCTTACAAAAAGTCCACTGAAAAAGTCTTAGTAAATGATCACCATTATCATCTCATATCATCTCATCTCATTTCATTTAATTTCACTCCATAATATAATTTTTCATAAAAATAAGAATATAAATTAAAATAAGACTTGACCTAAAGGCCTTAGTTACCATCTCATAAATTCCCATAAAAAAAAACGAATTAATTAACCTTGAAATGTTCACCAAACAGTCCACAAATGCTGTACGAGAGTGAGGTGAGCGTGTACGACTTGAAGGACCATCCGGACTTCCAGTACCGGCCCGGGACTGTGGTCATACGCGTTGCCAACTTCACCGGGGAAGACGCCAACTGCACTGCGGGACAGGTGGGCGCCCTACTTCACTGTTTGTAAGCTTTGGAACTTGGATTCGAGTCTGTAAAGACATTCATGTGTACTACACCTTAAATCTCTAGTGTGAACTCCGGCAATCAATTTACACCAGGCCCGAGCTGTTGATATCGTTCACCTGTCTCTGCAATAAAAATAATTTAAGAAAGAACTTATGTTCCTGTAATCAACTTAGATCAGTTACATAAATAACATATATATTACATATGGATATGTTATACAATTAAAAGCGGTTTTCTTGGCTTTGAAACTCGGGTTCGTGTCTACAAAGACATTCATGTGTACTACGCCATAAATCTCTGGTGTGAACTCCGGCAATCAACAGGTGGGCTGGGCTGTTCACATCGTTCACCTGTCTGCAATAAAAATAAAATAACAAAATACTTATTGTAATCAAATCAAATCGGATAATTCTCATTTGAAAATCACACACTAGTGTACTGTGGCAAGGTGGAAGGAAAGAGACCACGCGTCCGATCACCTAGCCGCTGGTGTGACCAAATAACCACCCTAACTGGGCTGCCAGTCGCAACCGCCCTACGAGAAACTAAGGACTGTGACCACGGTCAAGTTTCAAGGACACGACCTTCCGTAATGAAGAAAGCGACGAAGAAGAAGTACTATGTTATACAATTAAAAGTAGTTTTCTTGTACTACAGGTCATTGATAACTTTCCTACTGGTCGAGTGAAGGTGTGGTGGGTCGATGGTCACATCAGCATGTGCTGGCCACAGGATCTATACAAGGTATGCTACATAAAATGTACTTCTTAAAGTGCATTCTATGTTTTTATTCGTTAAGTAATGTTTAGATGTGTATTGGTTGTACATGCGCGCGCGTTTGGCATGGTATGGACATGTGGTGAGACGAAATGAAAATGAGGTTGGTAAGAGAGTGTTAACTATGAATGTGGAAGGATATAGAGGAAGAGGTAGACCTAAGAAGAAATGGATGGATTGCGTGAATGAGGATATCGGTAAGAGGGGAGTGAGCGAAGAAATGGTATATGATAGAAGAGTATGGAAGGAGAAAACATGTTGCGCCGACCCCAGGTAACTGGTAGAAGGGCAGGATTATGATGATGATGATGATGTTGTACATGTCTAATTTAATTTAGAAATCTGCAATAATGCGTACCGTCTTAAAGGATAGGACAACGGCCAATTGACAATGCTCACTGACTATTGACGATGATATCTATAGAACCTGATATCCCAGTGATACCAGTTGCTTTGTGGACTGTTCTGTCCTAAATTAAATGTCAATATTGGTGCAATAGGTGGGCGAGTACGATTCGGAGGAGGGCGAACTGTGGGGCTCTGAGGGATCCGCCTCCGAGGACTCCTGGGAGACGCAGAGCTCACATGCTGAACACGAGCCACGCACTCCGGATGTCACACCTAGTGCGTATACATAGCCTTATTTACTAGCCTGTATTTATTGGTTTTTTTTTTCAAAGTTATGAAATGATTAGGTGCAAAATGCAAAATTCACAATTCATTTTTTAATGTACCTTAATTGCAATTTAATATTTATGAGTCCCTTTGCCTTTAAAATACATTCTTAAAAAAGAGGTTTTATTACGGGTAAGGATACGAAGGGTGTGTACGTACAGACTACTCAATATCCATCAATTGCGCGCAATTTATATCGTTTTTTTTTTTTTATTGCTTAGATGGGTGGACGAGCTCCACAGCCCACCTGGTGTTAAGTGGTTACTGGAGCCCATAGACATCTACAACGTAAATGCGCCACCCACCTTGAGATATAAGTTCTAAGGTCTCAGTATAGTTACAACGGCTGCCCCATCCTTCGAACCGAAACGCATTACTGCTTCACGGCGGAAAGAGGCGGGGTGGTGGTACCTACCCGCGCAGACTCACAAGAGGTTCTACCATCAGTGAAAAAAATGTCATCGGGTTGCTTAGACACGTCAGCGAAAATTCCGGTATTGACATTGACGATCCGCTTGCCGGCTCTCATTAGATTTATGCATTTCCAACATTGACTGCGAGGTCTTCTCATACGAAACTCCAGAATATTTCATATATTATAGTGCCTCAATCCATAAATAAAAGACCTAAACTTTGTATAAAATAAACTTAAAACAAACAAAAGGAATCTGTCCGACGGGGGACATATCGAAGGAGAAACAAAATTGTTATTTTCATTTAATTCCAAGCATTTTCATATTTATCTACCTTTTAAACCTTCTTTGGACTTCCACAAATAATTCAAGACCAAAATTAGCCAAATCTGTCCAGCCGTTCTCGAGTTTTAGCGAGACTAACGAACAGCAATTCATTTTTATATATATAGAAGATTATATTGCAAATTGTATTTGGTTTTTCAGTACTTCCGAAAGTGGAGAATCAGCAGGTTCCCGCCGTAGAAAGTACGTCGAGTGGTCTAACGATACCGAGGCTACTGGAACCGCGCGTCGCCGCTCACATCGAGAGGGGACGAGTAGCCATGAGGAGACTGGAGGAGATGTTCGCCAAACATCCTGCGCTTCAAACACAGGAGGTACTTTATATTACTGTTACGCGCTGGGATTCGGGATAAATATATGTTCCACCAAAGTACAACTTAAAACTGTATTTATCACTTAGAACGCTCACAAAACACTTTAAATTTCTTAAATCACTTCTTCCGCTTCGCTTCAGGCGATCCGTTTGCTGTTTCGCTTCGAGTAGTTCTGATTACTAACTAACTGCGTGCCGTCTCTGCAACGCTTATATAGACATCCCTAGATTTATCCAGAACATTCCGCACAAGTCGAGTATTTTCGAAATGCTTTTCCGCCATTTGACAATAGATGGCCTTACTCTTACCGGCGTAACATTACTAAGTAGCAAATTATTTTCGAGAGAAAAAAAAACTGATAAAAAATTGAACGAATGAATAAGTTGAACTAGTATTTGTATTGGGCCTGTTTAATGTCACTTTGGTGACTTACTGATTTTTTTTTGTTTATTTACAGATAATGAGAAAACTGCTCAATTTGTATAAGGACTGTCGATTCTTGGATCGCTTGATGGGTACTACTTTCTTCCATGAAGATCATTTCTTGGTAATTAATGTTCGCCTTTAGAATGAATAATGTCATGATTTCAACAAAAACATAACTGTTCCAATAATTCTTGGCTGTGGCCTTAATGATACGATCGGCATAGATGACAACATCGGATTCTATGTGTTTTTTTTTATTACGCTTCTAGACAGACGAACATACGGCCCTGCTGATGGTAAGTGGTTACCGTCGTTCATGGACTTCAGCAATATCAGGGGTAGAGCCAGGCCGCTGCCTACAATTACGTTTGAAGACGCAACAAATATTTTTTCACAATTTTTGTCATGCTAATAGCACTGCTACGGGTGAACAGTTGAGAAATTAGATCGATAATTAAATTTTAACGAAAATTACGCGGACGGAGGAGTATGCAATTTCCCACACTTATAGAGAATATAGAGAAGAAGAAATTTTTTTCAAATTATGCATAGAAAATACATTAAATTAATTTAAAAAAACATTACACACACTACCATGTTTTTGACAGATACTCACACGCATGCGTACTATTTGTTTACTGTCAAACTTTTTTTATTGCCTATGGTCTGTGGTCAAATTGAGAATAGAGTATATTGTATGCCTTTATTAATATTTGTTTAAAGTGTAGTCTTGGTGAAATCTGTAATTATTATAGAAGTATAATAGTCTTTGGCCATAGAATCATAATAGTGAACAAACTTATAATTTCAATTAATTACAGTCGAATTCGCCTACCAGGGAACAACTAGTTCTAATTAATATGGCAGTGTGTTTCTGAGGTTACTCGTGGTAGGACCTCTTGTGAGTCCGCACGGGTAGGTACCACCACCCCGCCTATTTCTGCCGTGAAGCAGTAATGAGTTTCGGCTTGAAGGGCGGGGCTGCCGTTGTAACTATACTGAGACCTTAAAACGTATATCTCAAAGTGGGTAGCGCATTTACGTCGTAGATGTCTATGGGCTTCAGTAACCACTTAACACCAGGTGGGCTGTGAGCTCGTCTAGCCATCTAAGCAATTGTACAGATAATATGGTGTCAAAGGGTCTACTGGAGCGGGTGCGCGAGCGCGGGGCGAGCACGCCGCGTGCGGGCGAGCGGCGCGTGCACGAGCAGCTGGCGCGCCTGTTCACGCCCAACGAGCCGGGCGGCGACCTGGCCGCCACCGACATGCTGGTCGACGAGCACATGGAGAAGCCGCCCACGAGGACCCTCATCACGTCCAACGTTACCGTCGAGCCTATGGAGGTTATATTATCTTTATATTAATACGTGAAGCAAAAACTTTGTACCCCTTTTTATGAAAATTGCGCGGACGGAGGAGTATGAAATTTCTTACACTTTTAGAGAATATAGAGAAGAAGTGCACAATGCTAATATTTTTTTTAAATAATGCATAAAAGATACATTAAATGAATAAATGAGAAACACTACACACAATAACCATGTTTTTGACACACAAACGCATGCATACTATTTGTTTATTGTCATACTTTTCTTATTGCTTATAGTCTGTGGTCAAATTGAGAATAGATTAAATATGTACATATTGTTTGTCTTTAATAATATTTGTCTAAAGTGTAGTCTCGGCGAAGTCTGTGATTATAGAAATATAATAATCTTTGACAATAGAATCATAATAGTGTACAAACTTATAATTTCAATAAATTATAGTCGAATTTCGACTACCGGGGGACCACTAATATATTTAGTATTGCTTTACGGAATAAATAAGTCCATCACTGGGCTCCATCCAAATGACATACCCTCAATTAAAGTTAGAACTAGAGGCTCAGGAATGGTGGTAATCTTTCTATGACCTTAAAGGGCGTTTAATGGTCTACCTCGTATTAAATAAATAACAGAGCTTATAATCGTTACCTTCAGGCATACGTGCCAAGTCTTAATAGTAATATTCTACCTGTTAAATTGGATACACGAATATTTAGGACGCTTAAATAAAATCAGCTCTAAATAAAATAATAAAATGTTTGTTTTATGTAAAAATGTACAATGCTTTTTGTTGTAATCGCGGGGATCTTGGCCTCCTAGATTTTTTCGGTCGCGCATGCGCCTGACGGAACCAAATGTTTCGCCACAAATACCTTGTATCGCAAAATAATCAGAACAGGGATGTAACTATTAAGGGCAATCGAAAAATATGAATTTATGTTTAGAAGTGTATTCTGGACTTTTTCGTTACAGGTCGAAGGAAACACTCCAAAGACACATACGAATTCAACGTCGGATTCAACGGTGCATGCTTCAGGTTCCAACATCAGTGCGCAAGTCACTCAGGAGGGCGCTACTGTTGAAGATCGTAAGTAACCGATACTCATACAACAAGAATAGAGACTGACCAAAATTCATTGCAATGGTTTTTTTACTCTATAGACGGGCGAATGAGCTCACGTCCTTGAACCATGAGGTCGATGTCTCAAATGTAAAATATATTTATTTACTTATATGATTTTTTATCACTTTCTGTTTAACGACTGTTTCGATATTTATTATGAGTATTGCTTTACGTAATCTTACAAAACATAATATATCAAAGAATCCAGAGTTCTCTTGAAGTTCTCTCAAGATCTCTTGAGATAGTACATTTTTCTAGAAAAAGTTCGATTACAGTAGTTTCCATGACTTGAATGCGTAAAAGAGTAAGATATAATTACTCGTAGTGTCTTACTACTAAACGTCATATGACATTGACCTTATCGAGAATTCTTGATGTGTTTACATCACTAGTTCAAAATCACAAAACGTAAAATACGATGATGTTTCTGAACTAAGATGAATATGAATATTTCAAAAATGATTTATAAGACTACCTCGAAATAATACCTCGTGTACATTTTCAATATTGTATACTTCACCCTGTATTTAAATAATCAGTCAAACGAAATTAAACTTTATTGTCTAACGCTCAGCGTCTACGGAGCAAAGCGACTTGGACGGCACGACCCGCAACGTTTGCTACCGACTGTGCTCCCTCATACATTCGCAACTGGTGAAGGCTCACGCGGAAGTCAGCCGGTGAGTAGTGCAGAAAAAGTTGTACGTGTGGTATTCATTTGTGATGTTCCGTGATTAAAACAATTTTAGAAGGACAACTGTATATTGAAACCATCCCTCTCTCTCCGAGAATCTAGTTTATACTAGATTAGTAGAAATTACTAGAATAGGTAGGGGGCGAAAAAGTGTAGTTTGTATAATAAGCTACCAACGATTAGGTAGAAAAAATAAGTTAATTTATCAATAATATAACAACATTTATAAATTGAGTTATTTTTTATGTATCTTTTATAATGTAAATTATGGTCTATGGTAAGTAAATGTATGGTATGGTTTGAGAAGTAAAAAAAAAGAGTTTGGACAAAAAGCCAAACAATTTTTTTTTTAAATTATTAATTGTTCAAGTCCTCAATAAAAGTATTGTAATCGGTCCTTGAGACATGCACAGGTTTTAAAATTAGTCGAATGTGTTGAAAATGTTGAAAATTACTTTGAAAGACATCATCATTTATTTATCGATTGAAAATTTTAGGTGAAGTTATTAAGTGTGTTAAAATAATAAAGTATGAATAAAACTAATCAGTTATTCATGGTCACCCTCTAGCAAAGTTGTATAACATAAAATAGAGTTATAAAACCTCCTTTTTATGTAAACATACACTATAAATATAGTGGTTTTACTATAGTATAAAAGTACATTCGGGAAGAGTACATTTTTCATTATAATTGTTGTTTTTTATCCTTATAGGCAGACTAGCGTATGGCCAAACCGATGGCGAGTGGTTAGTGGTATTGCTCATGGAGATCAATAATGTCAGGAGTACAGCCGAGCGGCTGTCTATCCCTGAGTGAGCACGACAAATTTTATGAAAACCATTTGAGTGTGATTACAAAATATGTTTTCAGATATACCAAATTTATAGGTGACATAAATTACTGTGTAACAGTGCTTAAGTAAAATTGAATCATGATTATTAATTCATAAGTTATTTATACCGTTGTTCTTCTAAGGCATCATAGTAATATTAAGCTATTGTTTTGCGCATTCAATGAAATATAATCTGTCGAACAACAAATAAATTTAAGATTGATTTGTTTCACAGGAGAAGGCCGCAAGAGTTGGCCGGATTCCTTAACAACTTAATGAAAAAGAGAAACGTGTCTGAGGAGAACTTACTCTACCACTTTTCAGTGTGAGCCTCCGTGTTTTATGTTAATTTTCTCCCCAGCCCCCATACTAACTCCCCCTGATAAATCCTAAAGATACTGAATACTGTGCGTTTCTATGAAAATAATATAATACAAAATAAAAATTTCATGTGACAGCTTAATTCACTATGATATTGAAAATAGTCTAATCAACTGCTACTAACTGGTACTGTGTACATTTTCCTTTCAAAACTTATTGAGATTATATCTTTTTATACGTACAAAGGAAATTTCTTCCCTTCAACTTTCGAAATTGTACAGTATTTTAGTATAGCATTAACGAACCTATACCCTGTTGTAATAATTTATTTTATATATTTTAATTCATATTTCATTAAAAATGTTTGCTTTATGTTGATCATATCATTGTATATTCGATAATTGCCAGCGAAATATGCTATTTTGAATTTTTAGTACGTACGTATGTATAAAACGAGCATCGCACGCATTTTAATAATTTAATCAGGAAATATGGCAATTTTTAATTATTAGCTGGCAACTTTCGATATATTTTTTCATTTCATGGCTTTATATCAAGTTTATGTCGTATTGTTCTATGTGAGCACGTTGATGTCAATGTCTTGCCCCTGTATATATTAGCAAGTGAACTGGCAAAACTTATGTTAAACAAAATATTTGACAAAAGCGTTACGGCTTAATAGCACACAAAAGTGTATGTTGTTTTATGTTTCAGCAAATTTACTTTTCAGAAACTCGATATCATATTGTTTAATATAAATTTTATTTACGGCAACACTCGTGTAACTCAATGTCTGTGGCCATTGTTTTTTTTTTTTACAACGAGTATACTTTTCAAATATTCAATTCCAATACTGGTCCGTAGAAAATTAGTTTTTCATTAGTTGTTAATAAAAAAGTTTAACTAACCAATAATAATAAAAAAGTTTAGTTAACCAAAAACAAAATATGGTAAATTAATGTAAATGCACATTTTAGATTTCACCGCAATTGTTAGATTCATTGGTTTTTAACAATTCATATTTTTAGTTTCTTGAGTTTTTTTTTTCTTTCCTTCCAAACTGTCAAAAGTGGTAACTTAATTTCTCTGATTTTCCGTTAATAATACCCTCTACTATATATAGTATTTGGCGTCCGTTTTTTTATTAGTATAACAAAATTAAACAGTTTGTTTAATGTAAGTATTGCGTTCTTGTGTATGAACTCCCCCTTTGCATGATGTGATGTGTAGATAGTGATCCCATAATGTGGTGGTAGCTTTTGATGTTCCTAGTTGAGCTCGGAAGTGTTTTGATTCCTTTTATTCCGGAGTCACCAATTGTCGAGGAAAAATAGTTTCGTGTTTAAATATTAAAATAATTCAATAAAGTTGGCCTCTCCTAAGTTGAACCTACAATCCGTTGAGTATCTCAGGAATCCCCAAGATCCCTCACAAGATCGGTCACTGTGGCGAACTTTGGTAGTATCTATGTCCAGCAGTGAACAACTGTGGGCTTATGAGGATGATGGTAGTGATAAATTAATAAATGAAGAACAATTTTAGAAAATTTAAAAGATACTTGCTGTGTATTCAAAGATAAGTCAATTCGATGGCGGGAGTGTGGTCTTAGCGCTTCGCGAAAAACGGCTGCTAGTGTCCACTAAGGGTCCTCGATCTGAGGAACGGGTGATGCTCTTCGTGGTCATACCGCCGGCACAAGAAACCTTTCACCACAGTTGTGGATCCTGGTCATATCACGACGTAAATAAGATTTGCTTTAGTGGACAGTGGAGATCATGTTCATACCACACTGTAACACTGTATCTATTAATTTTTATGTCGAATTAACAGATATATATAAATATAAACATTATCGTAAAGTTGGGGGTAGTCGGAAATAATTCAAATTGTATATACTTCCCCTCCTCCCTCCCTCGATAAATGTTCTTTTTTTTTAAATTGCCTAATCTGCATCTGGCTTTTAATAATTTTTCCGATGGTACATCGCAGTCAGTACGGTGCTCTGGTCGTGAGCATGGGTGAAGACGAGAAGGCCGAGACGAAACCAGCCGAAGGTGAAGCCAAGGATGCCACAACCGGTACTGCGGAAACCGACGAAGTCAAGAGTAAGTTTTTGAAGTTAAGAAAAAGAGCGTACAATCGGTTCACGGGGGGCAGGCGCAAGCAATGGATTAATTAAAGTAATTCTTTCACATTTAATGATCTCATACTAATATTTTCACAAAAGTACGAATTCCCTGTATCTAACCCTGACCCGGGTACGGTATCAGGATCATTAACACTAACCTAATTGATAATGGATCATGCTATTAGGTTGTAAAAGGAATCGACGAAGGACTCATGTTACCAGGCCATAAAGCGTATAAAAAAGAAATTATTATTTTACTGGTGGTAGGACCTCTCGTGAGTCCGCACGGGTAGGTACCACCACCCTGCCTATTTTTGCCGTGAAGCAGTAATGCGTTTCGGTTTGAACGGTGGGGCAGCCGTTGTAACTATACTGAGGCCTTAGAACTTATATCTCAAGGTGCGGTTACGTAAAACCTAAGGACTCGTTTGGAATTTTATATGTGCTGCAAAAATACTATGCAACATTTGTAACGCACAATAATTTTATGTAAGTTTCACTTCTTTCACGTGCACCCAGTTGCAAGCGCACCAGTTTGTTTATTTATTTGAATATATCGATTATACAGACATACCTGACGCAGCGCCGCTAGCCGCCGCTGAAGGCGCGGAAATGGAAGCGGAAGTGGAGGGCTCCCCTGTCTCCGGAGGGGAGGGGTTCGCGCTGCTGGAGCTCGCGCCGGCAGCGCACCGCTTCCGCCTCTCCATACTGCAGCCGTCTGACCCGCGCTCCTTCCACTCGGCCGTCAAACGAGAGATCAAATTGCTCAGGAGTGATCTACCACCCGGCGTAAGCATCTCAAACTCTCATACATATCGACGCTCGAAAGGCAAACGTGACTAAACGACAATCTTACCTGACATCTTATCTGATAAGAATTGATTAGTTTTAACCATAAATACTTCATGTAGCAGTTGTATAGTCAAATCATGTAAATTAAATTAATGCCACACATATATTCACAAACAGTATCTTGAAAATCGGATAAATAAAAAATATTAAAATATAAATTTTATTTTTTGCAGTAGTAGTTGATTCTCTTTTCGGTATGAATAATTTATTTTATTAAATTTTTATTACTCCATTATATATTCTATTAAACAATATTCATAAGATGTATATGTTACGGTAAATGTACACTTTTACCTGTAAATGTGTGCACATTTGCCAAAAAGCTAGGTATATGTGAACTGAATATAAAGTATATGTACATTACCCTCCATAGCTATAGTGCATTTAGTAGGCTCAGAGAGGTCAATGAACCTGTCAAATTTGTCCCTACTCCGTTTTGACCGCGCGCTTACTAGAGAGCGCTAGGGTAATGATTGCTACATGGACTAAAAAAGGCTTTTGCAATTAAAACCACTATGATTCATCCACTATTGATTACTTTCCTTTATAACAGTTCTTAAAGCTTTGGAATTGACTTCCTCGACGATATTCCGTCATTACACTGAGACTTCTCTGTGCCGTTGACAATGTCCATGACTAGCACAAAAAAATTGATGCTAAAATATCAGAGTGCGTAGGTTCAGTGTGTAGTTTTATTCAAGCTACGATACGTCACTAGCGACTGAAAACATCTTTCATTTCTAAGCCATAAAATAATACAATAATAATTGTCAATAATAAAAATTCAAGTACACATCGTTTTAAAATGTTTTTTTTTTTTACTGTAATAACTCGTTAAAACGTGAGGGGCAATTCAGTCTGGTGGTAGGACCTCTTGAGTCCGCACGGATAGGTACCACCACTTGCCTATTTCTGCTGGTGAAACAGTAATGCGTTTCGGTTTGAAGGGTGGGGCAGCCGTTGTAACTATACTGAGAGCTTAGAACTTATATCTCAAGGTGGGTGTGCCGCATTTACGTTGTAGATGTCTATGGGCTTCAGTAACCACTTAACACCTGTGCTGGTGAACTGCGAGCTCGTCCACTCATCAAAGCAATAAAAATAAAATAAAATAAGTTAGCGAATGTGATCCGAATGAAATAAAGTTTCCGTTTGGATGCAGGTCTGGGTCCGCGGCTACGAGAACCGCATCGATCTGCTGTCGGTGATGATAGCCGGACCCGCGAACACGCCGTACGAGGACGGGCTGTTCGTGTTCGACGTGCAGCTCGGCGGGGAGTACCCGCGCGCGCCGCCGCTCTGCCACTACCACTCGTACTGCACGGACCGACTCAACCCGAACCTATACGAGGACGGGAAGGTACATATCTATCCTATCTATTTATACAGAGAAGCAGACCGCCCGAACCTACCTAATTCTAACCACATAAGAAAAAAAATAAAATAAGAAAAAAATTGGACGAGGACGGGAAGGTACCTACATGGTAACTCTGTATACAGAGAAGGAGTGCAGAATATTTATATATTTTTTTTAATTATGCATAAAAAATCTGTACACTAAATTAATAAAAAAAAACATTACACACACTAATTACATGAAATGTTGAAGTATTATCATGTTTCTAGTCGCATTAGCTAACCTGACGGTCATGTAATTATCAAACAATAATTCCGTTAAATATTAAAAATTTAAATCTTAAATCGACTAATACAACCTAAGAATTTTGAACCATTTTTTAAGACCAATCACAACGCATGATATAATATGTAGCTAATCATTGTGTTTTATTGTATATCATACGATTAAATTATATTATGAGCATCAATAACTACTAGTGGTCCCGCAATTCGACTATAATTAATTGGAATTGTAAGTTTGTACACTATTATGATTGTATTTTATACTTCTATAACTTCGATCAATAATACTACTAGATTCGCGATTAGCGCTTCAAAAACGGCCCAAAAAATAAGACCACAAATAAATTTGTGGTCTTATTTCAAATTAGTATGGTCCAATCATAGCCAACACTAAGACGTCAAAACGCTGCAATGCGCGTTCAAAAACTGAGTAAAAAACCACCGTAACACCAAGGTTTTGGAAGGAATATCTTTTTTTTGNTAAATTAAAATTCACTACAAGAGCTTTCATACACACGTTAGTATTAAAAAATCTCACAGATGGCGCTGTATTAAATAGTATGTATATTTCTGTCTCATTCTTTGCTGGCTTCATCCTACACATTTTTGTATTTGTGTCTCTTACCTGTCGTTTTTTCCGTTGCATCCGGTTTGAAATCACAACGATTCTAAAGAAGATTTCACTTCAAAAAAAAAATTGGACGAGGACGGGACGGTACCTATGCATACAGAGAAGGAGTGCAGAATATTTATATATTTTTTTAAATTATGCATAAAAAATATGTACACTAAATTAATAAAAAAAAAACATTACACACACTAATTACATGAAATGTTGAAGTATTATCATGTTTCTAGTCGCATTAGCTAACCTGTCGGTCATGTAATTATCAAACAATAATTTCGTTAAATATTAAAAATTTAAATCTTAAATCGACTAATACAACCTAAGAATTTTAAACCATTTTTTAAGACCAATCACAACGCTTGATATAATATGTAGCTAATCATTGTGTTTTATTGTATATCATTAAGTTATATTATGAGCATCAATATATATACGAGCTAACTCCCAACAGCTTATTATGGCCTCAAATGACGTCACGTTATAAGGTTGCTGTCGCACGCAGCTATTTATAACTTACGTGGTTTTTTTTCCAAATCAAACCACTCCTATTATCTATTCAGGTTTCCAATTAGTACGCGCAGATCTAAGTGTGGTAAATATTGTAATATGTTGGGGTTTCAGGTTTGTGTGTCTCTACTGGGCACGTGGTCTGGGCGCGGTGTCGAGGTGTGGGGCAAAGACAGCTCGCTCCTACAGGTCATAGTGTCTCTGCAGGGACTGATCCTCAATGCCGAGCCTTATTTCAACGAGGCTGGATATGAGAAACAAAAAGGTACTTAGGCATTCTTGATAAAGTTTCAATTAGAATTCTTGTTTTTTTTTTATTGCTTAGATGGGTGGACACCCTCACAGCCCACCTGGTGTTAAGTAATTACTGGAGTCCATAGACATTTACAACGTAAATGCGCCACCTACCTTGAGATATAAGTTCTAAGGTCTCAGTATAGTTACAACGGCTGCCACACCTTTCAAACCGAAATGCATTACTGCTTCACCAGCAGAAATAGTCAAGTAGTGGTACCTACCCGTGCGGACTCAAGAGGTCCTACCACCAGTAAAGCTATAGTATTATAAGTATAAAAAGTGTCATAGTTAATAGTTTTTATAAAAGCTTATCATTATGTTCATTACACAGAAATACCCTAAGATTTCTATTGATTCTACCCTCAGTTTGTGTCTTAGATATTTTCGACTTAAACAAAAAACAATCAAATCTAATTTAAAAAAAAAAAACATTTTGATTACTTAGACAAGTGCACGATCTCACCATCACCACCACCTTTTAAGTGGTTACCGGAGCACATTGAATTTTTAACGTTAATGCCTTCACCTAACTTGAAACTCAGAGTAGTAATTACACTAATTATACTTTTGCTGATTCTATTTTTATTACACGAAGCTACTCCTTCCTCGTGAAGCCATTGAAATTTTTCTTAAGTCTGTGTAAAGTTAAGCATTTCCTTAGAAAATTTTGCACTTACCTGCGGGATTTTAACAGTAACTTAGTCGCATCAAATCAACGTATCGGTCTATATGTTAATATGAACTCCAATCTAATTTATTTATGCATTATATACAGTGTTATGAAAATATTTATGAAGTAGGTAGTTGTTGTAACAGTAACAGTAACAGTTGTAACAGTAGGTAGTTGTTAACAAGTCATTTTTCACTTCTCGCTTCGAATGAGGGAATGAGTTGCTTGCTCCGGGCATTTCAATATTGCAATAATTGTTACGTTATAATACCTCTTGTAAAAATGAATATTTAAAAAAAAAAAGACATGCCCGCTGAGTTTCTTGCCAGTTCTTCTCAGGACGGAGGCTAGTTTTTGTGAATTGGCGGTAGTTCTTTTTGACGTTCAACAAGTGTGTGTGTGTGTACTTTCATTTATGTCGAATTAAAAAAAAATATGATTTGATTTGATCAAAAATTTTTATACTCACTCAGGTACCCAACAAGGCAAGGAGAACTCGCGCATGTACAACGAGATGGTGCTGTTAAAACTCGTTCAATCGATGACGAAGATGGTCCTTAACCCGCCGGAACCGTTCCGCGACGAGATCATGCAGCACATGCGCACGCACGCCGCCGCGCTCTGTGCGCGCCTCGACGGACTCGTGGCGCTCTCCGGGGAGGCGCCCCTCCCCCGCCCCGTCGCGCCCCCGGACTACCCCCTGGTGCCGGCGTCGCGCGGCTTCTGCCTCACGCTCAGGTCGTCCCTCGAAGCGTTCCGAGCGGCGCTGCGTAGGAACGACATCACTCTCCCCCCGGAGGATTTATAGCACGCCTCTATCTAGCCCCCGCGACCCGTCCTCGTCCCCCCTCCATCAGTGTTGCCGGACCGCGGAAACCTCGCTACTAAATGCCAGCATCAGAAAAGGACGAACGATCCGTCAAATTTCTAGTAGTTTGCGCGGGTCTAGTACTTCAATACAATATGCGGCCGCGTACAGAACCGATGAAATTTTTGGCGAATAAATTTTGCGTGGCGTGAGTGACGTCACGCTTCATAGTGTGATGAGAATGACGTCACATACGACCCCATGACCTAACCGACGACAGTCGTTGGGTGGCGATCCGGACGCGGACTCGTTGATCGTATTGCTCGCCAATACGAGACCAACCGGTCCCGCGACACATTTTATGAATTAAATTCTAAACGTCGATCTTATGCGAACATGAACATTTAGGTTTATCGAATGTAGTTTAATGTTATTTATTTGTAATCGAACGTATACATTTGTCTGGCGGAGGTTTCGTCGAGTACTTACTGAATTTCCACACTTTTTACCGAGCCGAGGCTTTTAGCTGTAATTTCGAATTTGCTACACGATTATAATTATAAAGACAAGTTGATTTAGTTGAAATTCTGTTATTCAAAGCTGTCAGTTGTTTTTTTTATAATTTGTATGAATGTGCGAGTATTGATGAGTCACCTAGTTTTATTTATTTGTCATTGTCTGTAAAAAAAAAAACAAACATTCACTCATATTTATGTAATGTAATTAATTTTAATGTTATATTTTTTTGTTTTTTTTTTTTTTCTTCTGATATGTAATTAAAAATGTTGATATGAAATGAGGTACTATTTGCGGGTACGTTGTGGTTGATTTGGCAGATTCTTTGTCAATATGTAATGGTAAATTTCAGTATTTTAATACAAATTTTTTTTATCTTAGAATTTCACTTTTTGAAAATGGCATGTTAATTAATTATATTTTATATTCCGATATATTTTATTTAAAATAAAATTATGGAAGTATTTATGGATCTCTTTCAAGTGTAACGCTATTTAGGAGCGTTTTTGTTTAATGTTTTATTTTATATTAGGATAATGATTTATTAAAGTAATTCGTGTTCTTTAATGGGAATCAAAATTCCGAAACGATCTTAACCCAATGCGCCGCGTGCTTCATTAGTGATATTTTTTTACTTGTTTTTAAATGTTCTCCTTTATAGCAAATTCGTCTTGTTTAGTGCTTAGAGCGTAGATGGATGAGTGGCGTGATGTCGCCCCACGCAGCACAAATACAATGTAATTTCATGCCAAAGTCAATTGAGCTATGGAAGGCTTTTGTCGCTTTTATTCGCGAAAGTGACAATCTGTGTATAATGATGATATAATAAATAATTCTTCAACCTTTACTTGGATTTTTATTTTCAAATACACACCTTTCTTCTTATTGCTTAGATGGGTGGACGAGCTCACAGCCCACTTGGTATTAAGTGGTTACTGAAGCCCATAAACATCTACAGCGTAAATACCCCACCCACCTTGAGATATAAGTTCTAAGATCTCAGTATAGTTACAACGGCTGCACCACCCTTCAAACCGAAACGCATTACTGCTTCACGGCAGAAATAGGCAGGGCGGTGGTACCTACCTGTGCGGACTCACAAGAGGTCCTACCACCAGTAAAATAAATTGTATTTCAATTATGAGTAAAAATTAACTTGACGTGAACATCTTTGATCTCACTGGGTTGTATTCATTCGACTTTGCCGGCTATTTAATTATACAAATGGGTAAAAAGTTAAATTAAAGATTACATTCACACGTATGTAAAAATTCTTAAATTATAAACCAATAGCAGATGAAAACATAAAGATGTACTTTTTATTATTCATGTTTTTGGAAACTGTACAAAAAAACTATCCATACTTCATTCTTCCAATGAACGTTCACAAATACGAAATGAAAAGTATAGTAGTAACAGTTAAAAATAGGCATTTATTTATTATTAAATATACAATGTTACATTACACAAAACACACAAGTTTAATCACACAACTCATTAATGTAAAATAAAATAAAAATCACTATTGTATAAAAATTCAATTAGGTACTATAAATTCATCACGGACCAGCCGTTTTAAGAACACAAATAACACAATAATTGTGGCCGTCAGCGCAAAAGTGACCTAAGCTTGCTATAGTTAGTATGGAGATAATAATAATAAATAATAAATAAATAAATATTTACTAACAATCACGCCACGTTAACTGGTCCCGTGATAAGTTCGTAAAGAACTTGTGTTACAGGTACCAGATAACGGAAACAAATGTAAGATTTTTATTATACACATACATATATTTAATATACATCCATAACCCTGGAAAAGACATTTATATTTATCATACAAATATCTTCCCTTGGCGGGATTCGAACCCGCGACCCCCGTATGTAGTGACCATGTCACTTACCACTACACCAGACGGCCGTTAAATGATAATGAGATTTGAATTAACGTTTACATTGCTTCGTAAGCAGAAACAATACGCGCAAAAATAATGTTTACAAAGGCATCTGTTATCTAAAGCACGAATATGAAAAACTGTAGGTAAGGACACTTTTGCACTGACGGCTTCAATTAGACAGTAGGTAAGTACTTTGAAAAAAAAAAAGCCTTTTATCAATCACAACCATTGGTTACTTCACATTTTAGCTAATCTTAGTTGTGTTGTGATGATCTTCAGAGCGAAATGGGGGGAACTTATTAAGCTTTACACTTTTCACGAATACTGTCAATAATCAGCTATCGTTGAATGTTTAAACCAGAAGAAACGGTATTAGCAAAATAAAGTTGAACGTAAAATTACGCTTCGGAATTTCGCAAAGAGCTCCCCCTCCCATAATAATCGGATTTAGATGCACATAAGAATATCTCAAATACATAAGTAGATTAAGTACGCAGGATTTTTTTCGATACAGTGCCCTTTCATATATATTTATTATGTACAAGCAATAAAAATCCTGTCATAAAATCAATCAATAGTACATAAAATATGAAACGTACTCGCGCTTTAAAAAAATTACAAGATTTCTTTCCATAACAGGACATATTCTAAATAAAAATTTAAAATCAAATTAATAACAGCATAGAATAACATTCCAGTCTGTTCGACTTTCAATTTCTATTCACTGATTTGTTTTAAATATTAATTAGCGTTTTACCGAAATGTTTGAAAATGTGCATTAATTAGTTAATTTATATTAATTATAAAAAAAACACACACACACACACACACTTAAAACTATGCATATTTTTGGCACATTCACTGGTTTCAAATATACAAAGCGTAAATCAATTATTGAATTAACATGGTTAAACTCTCTAAAATATAAAAAAATAAAGCTTGTATAACATTACATAAAATTAGTCTTAATAAATTAAGTGTTGTATTTCACCTGGAAATTGTTGGTTGGGCTGTCAGCCGGAAACTATTTTTGGGTAGTGAAGTAGATTACAGCGACAGTAGCGCCATCTGCTTTGAGACTTAAAGAGTCAAAGCACTGAGAAACGCATAGTTGCGTCGCGGTATCTATGAAATGTCTCCAACCAACCATAGGACCTCAATGACGTGTAGGAATTATTGAACTAGGAACATTTGATTGGAAAGTACTATTCAATAGACATCTTTAAATCCATTACATAAGTTAATCTGATATTCGCTAGGGTCCTCACAGGACGTTTCAACACTGGGAAGCATCTGCGCAAGACGAGCTTATCGATTCTAAATGAAGGAGGAAATATACAACAAAAATGGACATCTTAAGCGAGTTACGTAGGCCGGAATGTTTATAGACTCATATCTCAAAACGCTATTGCAGGATTAATGCGGGAGGTATTTGAAGATATCTTCGAAGGAATAGCATAGATGAGGTCAAGGGTCAAAGATTCGGGCAATTTTCTGGCTAGACCCTAAAATAAATAGGAGAATGGGATGAGAATTTAAAAAATATACTTCACGGGATGCTTCAGGACTAAGAAGCACCTGCGCAAGACTAGCATGTCGATTCTAAATGAGGGAGGAAATATACAAAAAAAATTAATATCTCAAGAGAGTTACACAGGCCGGAATGTTTATTGACTAATCTCTCAAAACGCTATTGCAGGATTAATGCGGGAGGTATTTGAAGGCGAAGGGTCAAATATTTGACCAATTGTCTGGTCAGACCTTAAAATAAATAGGGGAATGGGATGAGAGCTTCAAAAATAGGATGATCACACTACTGCTACGGACGGACGATGCACCAGAATGAGGTTTCATAATGTCTGCTGAATGAGTAACTACCAGAGTTTTGTCATGTATGATGCTCTGGTTTTAAAAAGAGAGTAAATTCCTCAATGAACAATTAAGGAGTTTTGATGTCATGTAGAGTGACAAAATTCTAAAGCTTGTTTTCTAGTTTGGTTTATTTTTCGTTCGCTCGTGAATACAAAGCCTTTAGATTTTTTTTAAATACGTGGAGAGTTAAGCCGTAAAGATATAAGAAGGTACAAATTGGTTGAGCGTCGCGGTACCTATCCTTTAATCTAATCATTCGTGTTTTTTTTTTTCTTCATAAAACTCCTACTATAATGTAATTTATATAACTTTTACTTTAAACACATTCACGAATATCATTCAAGTACATAAATAAGTCATTTAATTTTGCTATCTCAAGATAAAGCCCTCAATAAAATATGACTTCAATTTATAAAATTAACACACACACACGTTAGAATATCACAATTAATATTATACAAAAAATATATTAGCATTTCCGTCGAAGAAAAAAAAAGAAAATACCGCCTAATTTATCGTCATGATTTCTTTTCGAATATGTGCACGGAGACCAATATTATACACATGTACGACCAGAGCAACACGAATACTGCCCACGCCGCATGCGAGAACGGACTCTTATACTTATTGACCACGCCCAAACCCAGCAGGGCGACGCAGTGCCGCCTGGCGGACACGACCAGAAACGTCGGTATCAAATATTGAATACCGGCTCCCGCATACGAACCAGTGAACTCAATTAACACACTGATATCCTCTAAATAATACGTCAACAGTACCGGAGGAACTACCGTAACGACGGGAAATAAAATTTTTCTTACGACAACATTGTAACTTTCAATGCGACCCGTGTCCAAACATAGAGATTGCAGATTGTTTTTTAACGTAATCGCTATAATCGGGAAACTCGTGGACAGAGTGAAAACCGGGAACAGTGAAAGGAAATAATCGACAATTTTAAGGAATATGTTTTCATTGTCCGACGGCACAAAATTTAACGTGTACAAATCGTTTAGTTCGGCAAAAGCGAAAGCGCCAGTGAACGCTAATAACAGGTAGAATACGCTTATGAGAACGTAATCTAGAGAGAGATGGAGCCCCAAGCCGTTTTTTCCTCGTATCGGACTGATGAGTCCTGGCAACGAGTGGTGGCACATGAATGAATACACACATGCTCCAAATAATGTGGGCATTCCCGTCACGTCAAACGTAGGAGGTCTGCCTTCAGCCCCGCGGGAGGTTAATAGATGGATCGCCATTGAGATCATTATCGTGAATGCTGCAAGAAAAATTAATCATTTAATGGAGCATTTTTTTTATTACTTAGTTGGGTGGACTAGCTCACAGCCCACCTGGTGTTAAGTAGTTACTGGAGCCCATAAACATCTACAACGTAAATGCGTCACCCACCTTGAGATATAAGTTCTAAGGTCTCAAGTATAGTTACAACGGCTGCCCCACCCTTCAAACCAAGACGCATTACTGCTTCACGGCAGAAATAGGCAGGGTGATGGTACCTATCCGCGCGGACTCACAAGAGGTCCTACCACCAGTATTCTTGAATTTTAGGAGGAAGCAAACTTTTTCAAACACTTATAAGAACCAAAATAGCTGTGAATGTCTAGAATACTCTAGAAATAACTCGATGGAAGCGGGAATCACAATTACATATATCAAATAATCAAATAAAATCGATATTAAAAATACGTACTTTTTATTTTATACGTACAGGTCATATACATAAGTATATAAATATGTAGTATGTTTAATACGTATCAAAAGCGAAGAAAATATTAGAAACCTAGATAGATAAATTATGTTCTAATAAAATTTTGTGCATATTACTGAATAACACAGTAATGCAATAAAAAATCAGCTGTTCGGGGTCAACGGTCTCGTACAACACGGAGGAAATGCCTAATACCTTCACGGTTTAAGCAAAATGTCTTATGAAAAAAAAAACCTTTTTAAAATATACATATTATATACCCGTAAAAAGCAATAAAAAAGTCAAGTCAAAACGCGAGCTGATCGAGTTACCTGTTAATTTATATACCAAATAAATCATAAAGATAAAAGATATTCTATTATCGATATCGGACATCGAAAATTGCTTAAACACTATCATTTAATAAGTGTAGCTTTATTACTGATAAAGGACTACAGTCCCGGAAATATGTTTCACTTATTACCGATTATTATATAAAAAATCCATCCATTGAAAACCGAAGTACCCACAAAAATAATAGAAAAGCAATTATTAGTGGGAAGGAACCTTACTTGGGACATAAGTTCTACCTGTCAATTGTTTTTTTTTATTTTGTTATGTTTGAAGGGTTACTGGTGGCCCGAAGGCCTTTCCAGTTTCACTAGGACAAGTGAGCGAGCAAAGGCTCAACCAGGCGGGGTAGGATTTTCTAATAGCTGCCCGAGCGCCTCTAAAGGAGACCTAACAACTCAAGAGCAGTGCTTCGCAGATTGCTAGGGCCAGTGTTAGCAACACTCCTCTCAAGGCTATCATCATAGGTAGTGAAAAAAAAGATGGTAGGGCGTCTTGTGAGTCCGCACAGATAGGTATCCGAAGCGTTCCGCTCCAGTTTGAAGGGGAGGGTAGCAATCGCAGTACAGAATTGAAACTTATGACTCATGTCTCAAGACTGAGTTTACGTTGTTCACATCTACGGGCTTCAGTATCCATTTAACCGTTGCCATCTACATGCGTCTTACTATCGGTAATCAATTTAACCTCGGCATCTTACTCGAGCAGCTTACGCGTTATAATTACGACTAGCGAACCGCCCTCGCTTCGCTTCGGAAGCGTTAAATTTTATTATTGATAGCTGAGGCCCGCGATGTTACCTACCCGCGTTTATTGTCGAAGCTAGTCTTAAAAAAGTAGCCTAAGTTACTCCTTATATTATCAGCTACTTATCAGTGAAAGTCTCATCAAAATCGGTCCAGCCGTTCCAGAGATTAGCCAGAACAAACAGACAGACAGACAAAAATTGTAAAAAAATATATATACGGTACATAACCGTATATATATTCATATGCATGTAGTGAAAAGCGGTTATTACAATATTACAAACAGACACTCCAATTTTATTTATATGTATAGATTATACGAAACACTCACCGAGCCATCTCATTCCTGACGTCAGCAACTGCAGGTACTTAGTCTTCTGCACGTTGAAGAAGACGAAGGGCCCCATGACCGCTACGAAGGTGAGCAGAGAGACCCTATACACATCGAGTCGAGTGTACGCCATTGGATCATCGGTTGCGTTGAAACACGGCAAGCTCTCCCAACCTCTGCCGTTCGTGACATTCGAAGAGACTGTTGAACTGTTCACGATTTATTATTTATTTATTGCGTAAATACCAGAGCCAGTGGACATAGGCATCGACGCCTTCTGGCACAGGTCGGAGCCTCAATTGTATTGTATAAAACTTTTCCTATCCTTTAAGCCGGAATGCGAGACTGTTTGACTGAGTCACGACGCTTCATAACTATGGCGTTTAATATTTTCAATGTATATCTCTCTGAATTCATTCAATTTGATACTTCAATTTCAAGCTTCAAATAGGTCGCGACATGACTCTAATTTTAATCACTATGCTTAGTCCGAGTTCTTTAACGTTCTCGATTGCGTAAGAGTTAACTCACAATTTGTATGGATTTGCAACGTTTGCCCACGTTTGCCGCTAGGGGCGCTGTTCCAACTGCATACAAATTTAAGTTAACTTTAACGCTATCGAGAGCGTTAAATTAAGCACACGGATCAATATTTACTGTTGCCACTTTGACACCGGCTACTGTACCATGAGGCCCGACCGGCGTCGATTCTCGGTCTCAGCATACAGTAAAACACACCAATACGCAGCGCTATATTATATCAGTTTATGCAATATAGATATTACCAAAAACCACACATATGTATAGGCATGTAACTTAACTACGAGCACCATAAAACCAAAAAGTCTTTAGTGCATGTTTAAGTTTGACCCATTTCTGACATACTAATAATTAGTGTAATCGCTTTTATTATTTAAACCTATTATTAAACGTGACGTTTTTTTTCTTTACTTAAATGAAAATCCGTATCATATTTGAACAGCTGTTCTGCAAGGCCATTTTTAAAAGTTATAAGACATATGGATACAATTAAGAACCTTTAATATCTATTACAATTGATATATATATATATTTTTATAACTATTGTTATAATGAGTTCGATTTTTATTTTTATAAGTAAAAAGCTAAATCATAAACATACATTCTATCTTCAGCTTGGCTGTGCCTGTTATTGCTGCCGTCTATTAATGACGGTAACCAGTCACTATCACGTGGCTACACTAAGGTAAGCATTTAAAAAAAATGCATCACTCGATACAAGTGCTCCAGGCATCTTACTATTTGTACAGGGATGCCTTAACCTACCTATCCACCTTTACACTAACATTCTGTTTCAGTTCAAGCAGTAGTTTATGGCAACAAGTTTTGTGAAATAAATGATAAGCATTGATGTTCGACTTATTGAATTAACAGTTAAGTTAGAACTTTTTAAGTACCATTATAAATTGAAATTCAATGAAACAAAACAGCAATACTAAAAAGAGTAAATCATAGATAGGATTTAGACTGAGGCAGAACTTTTGAAGGCTAAGATTACTACTGAAGGCTTCACTAGTATCTTGTGCACTGCACACATCTTTTCTTGTTTTCCAGGGTTACGGTTTTGCTTTTCAGCTTCAGGATTTATTCTTAAATACATATAAAGTTTATAAGAGAATTATAGAAATTACTGACCATACAACATCCATAACGGACTTAGCAACTGCAGCTGAATATATCGATAGGTCTCCATATAGATATACACAGAGAGTGCAATAAAACATCAACCTTCCAGTCTTGCTAAAAAAAAGGTTTGCCATTTCTCCAAGTTCCACACGTTGGTCCAGACTGTAGTATCTTGAAGGTATGGAAGTACCGCAAACAAGGGGTTCTTCGAGATCTCCATATTGTTGTGAGGTAGTCTCTTCATCAGTATCCCTATCTTGGATCTGAATTAGATTAAATATTTTCTATTTACCTATATTATCTATTTACTTCAACTACTGCTAGTGCTTCTCTGTGTAAGCCAGATCCTGAACATCAGAATGGTATAATTTATATAGGATTAATTGTTCCGTGTAAATGATTTACGATAACTGTAGCTTTAAACAATTTCAGTAAAAGTAAATTCAATTAAATCTTAACCTTTTAATAAATACTATATACATCAAATGAATTGCTGTTCATTAGTCTCACTAAAACTCGAGAACGGCTGGACCGATTTGGCTAATTTTGGTCTTGAATTATTTGTGAAAGTCCAGTGAAGGTTTAAAAGGTGGATAAATATGAAAATGCTCTAAATTAAATAAAAATAACATTTTTTGTTTTCCATTTGATGTGTCCCCCTTCGGACGGATTCCTTTTGTTTATTCAATGTTTATTTTATACAAAAGTTTAGGTCTTTTATTTATCGATTGAGGCACTACAAAGTGTGCCAGGTCAGCTAGTAAATACATAAAAAGAGCAGCTATACTTATAAATAAATTCAGCAATATTACTTGTCTTGAAGTCAGTTAAGAATTGAAGAACTTACACTCTCTCTCTTAATAGACTGCAGTTTCTTCCATTTTAGCACGGCATTGGCGCATGCCATAGTTTCTATCACATAAGTTGCATTCAAGAAACTCATAAATGCTAAGAAGACTAATGATATTGTGCTTAATGCCCATCCTGCCCTGGAAAATGCTGCAGGTAATGTCAGAGCACCAGTCCCAACAATCAAATTGAATATGTATATTAAGCCCACCTGCAAAATAGAGAGGTTTTATTAAAATTGGTATACACACTAGGATTACAATTTCATTTAACTGCTTTCAACATAAGTTTTATTTTAAATTAAGCACCAGGCCTTAGCTAGTGTGGACATTAGTAAAAAGTAATTAAATATATGTACATAATGTTTTTTTTTATGTTATTTAAAAAAAAAATTTTAACAAATTTTTTTGTTAAATTGCTTTGGTCTCACATAACAAAAGTTACATTTAGAAAATATTTTCAGAAAAACATGAGAATGTGCTTCCAAATAAATAAAATACAGAAGGAAATCAACATTTAAAAGAAAAGCATTTTTCATTATATCCTTAGAGAAGTTTTTGAATCGAACATTACACGATTAGATGCATGTTGAGCAAAAATAATAGAATTTAGATTCTAGGGAAACAGTTTAAAACAAAAGAATACTGGGTATTGAAGTGTGAATGAATAGGACTAATTGAAAACATGTCGTGGCAATCCAGTTGAAATTCCATACACAGAATAAACAAAATGGCATGAAACCAAAACATGTTAAATTAAATGTGTATTAATGCCAAAATATTAGCAATTTTTTCTAAAAAAACCATTGTCCAAACGGAATTCTATTCGAATCATTTTATTTTCGATTACCGCACTTCGACAATCTCTTCACGTAAATGTGTAAAACACTATTTTCATTGCATTGACATTTATCATAAACATTTTTGGTATGAAAAACAAAAGGAGATTTTAGTCGTCTAAATATTTGATACATTCCATTTCAGCCCGCAGACAGGCGCAATTTTTGTACGTTGTTGCATATTTTCCACTGAAATACACTACTATTTTTCAACTTTTTCTTTAAATGTTCCACACCAAACGGTAAAAATTAACTTAAGTTAAAAATAAAGCTAATAGACTGAACGTTGTTTTCACTTACCCATATCGAATATTGATCCCCAGTCTCAGTTATAGGCATTTTTAGAAGTCTTTTTACACCCCAAAATCTACGCGGCATATCACATAAACAAAATACGACATCGCCATCGGACCACAACTGCAGAAATAACAATCACAGATTATTCACTAGATTTTTGTAAGAGATTTTATGACCAGGTAAGTAGGACCTTTAGGTCATAGCTTATTTTAATTTATATTCTTATTTTTATGAAAGATGATAACATGGAGTGAAATGAAATGAAGATGAATAATTTGAGATATTAATCAACTGGGATGAAATTAAATGAGATGAGATGATATGGAATGAATATAATCTTAGTAAAATGGTGGTCATTTACCGAGACTTTTTCAGTGGACTTTTTGGAGGACTCCCAGAAGTTACGTCCAGCAGTTTTTTTTTTTTATTCCTTAGATGGATGGACGAGCTCACAGCCCACCTGGTGTTAAGTGGTTACTGGAGCCCAAAGACATCTACAACGTAAATGCGCCACCCACCTCGAGATATAAGTTCTAAGGTCTCAATTATAGTTACAACGGCCCACCCTTCAAGCCGAAACGCATTGCTGCTTCACGGCAGAAATAGGCAGGGTGGTGGTACCTACCCGCGCGGACTCACAAGAGATCCTACCACCAGTATCTACGCAATGGTTAATGAAGTAATGACAACTTACTCACTCATATTCCTAACAACGGTCTAAAATCATAAGTGTAAGTAGGTACGGTACCGTTCATACATAAAATATACCTACCGTACTTACGTTTAAATTGTATAATCTATGGTTTAAATTAAGAAGTATGGAGTAGTAAGAAGGAACCGAAAATAAAATTGATTTGATTTTTTCGTCCATGGAGTTCTTTTTATTTAATTTTTTTTTGTCTCCGACACGGTTTGTGCATTAGCCAGTGTCAGGGTCCTGGGTTCTGGAGTTCTCGTCGAATGGGATTGTATTAAGCCATAGTATTTTATGCATAGAATACAGGTAAAGAGAACATACCACACAGAGAAAGCTTTTCTACCAAAGATCAAAGCCATGTTTGTTGTATTAAAAGTGCAATGAAACGAAAACAATCAACAAAACAAAAGAAATTAAATTGATTGTGAAGTAAAAATGAATCAAATTAATGAAGTTTGTAATGTAATGAAATGCAACGGACTTAGCCGAGATGGCTTAATATTACATTGTAGGTACCTATTGGATGAAATGAAATGATGAAACCTCATAGTAAAATGGCTGGAATTTACTCAGAGTTCAATAAACATTGTGGAGGAAATGAAGAAGCCACTTCCTACGATTTTATTTCAATTTTCCTAAGCATTTTCCCAAATGCTAAATGTTCATATGCCACCATTAGAACTCATTGAGAATTTAAGAAACACCATAGATAATAATTGTACACTTAATGCATGTGTAGAAGCATTATGGTACATTATTTATGCACTAACAATGAAAAACATTTCACATGCATTCCCGCCGAAAATTCCACTCCACAGACTACTGAAGATCAGACCAGTACCTAGTTAAATTATAAAGTAATCTTCAATCCTAAAACAAAGGATACAATGTAATTATAGTCAAACGATTTAGATATTCATAGATAGCGTCCCACTTTCAACAGCCCTTGACTAGAAGTTTTTGAAGAAGGTTTTTTATGTTAAAGATACCGTAACCAAACACAGGGGCTAAGTGCATATATTATTCCCAGTGTATACTCATATTACAAAACATACCCGAACCTGTGGACCGAATGGTAAACAGTTGATGCCGCCCTAAACACATCATTACGGATCCTCCCGATCCATTAACAGTGCTTTTAGGTGCCTCAAGCACCAGCCACTATCCTACCCGAACCCATCGCTTGCGACGAAGGGCTCGGCGAGTAAATTAACCCATAGACACATCCTACTAAGTTTCTCGCCGGATCTTCTCAGTGGGTCGCGTTTTCGATCCGGCGGTAGATTCTGCGAAGCACTCCTCTTGCTAGGGCTAGTGTTAGCAACATCCAGTTTTGGCCCCGAGAGCACCACATGCTAGGATAACGCTGAATAGTCTCTCAAGGTTATTAGCTTAAGTAGGGAAAAAAAAGAAGCGGACTGGGTGAACCGTAATTTTGGGCGTCTCATCTTCCGGTTGCCGTAGTACTGGCCTTGGTTCTTTCAACCCGTACCTGCGCCGCGGTGCCCGGAGGAAACTGACAATGTAGTGCCACCACTGTGGCTGACAAACTTAACTGCACAACAGGAAGACGTTTCACAGTTTGTGGCGCATACCATCAATATGTTTGTACTACGCAGCTGAATATATGTCAGTAGCGCATACCAAATTTCTCGAAAACTCGATAATTGTGTTTGAAAATTGTTACCGCCCGGCGGTACCAAACGGCGAGACCATGCCTCCAGCACGGAGTCGGCAACGAGGCAGCCGTCGCGATCAGCCGGGGCCCCAACTTCTCGAAATGAAGGGTGGAAGTTGTAAAGACCGTCCAACTCGAGGCAGAGATACCACAACCCGGTCGTCTTAATCTCGCCGCGGACGCCTCCTATCACAGGCCTCCCGAGGTGGTATTCTTCGGGCCCCGTGAAACTGGAGGGCTTGAGAAGTATCGAGTATCACCTCTATAACCAATCTTCGGATCCTGCCGATCATGATGGCCAACCCCGGCGCAGGAAAGCCAGGCTGACTCGCGGACCGAATCTATCGTATTAGAATTCCTTCTAACGCTGTGGAAAAATAACATGAATATCCCTGTTTTGTTCGACCATGCATTTTCCTTTGAATAATGGAAGGTTCAAAAAGTCAAGCACTCCTCAGTGCCTCTCATCGGCTCAAACAATTAATGATTCGCATATTTGACCACATTACCTATGTCTGAAAATATACAAGTTCATGTCTCTCTCATGGACCGAAATAAAGGATACAAGCTAAAGGCTGACCGATCCTATGGACAAAACAATTAGCTAACAAAAGTATTTCGCTGGTAGAATTTGTTTAGGTACACAATTCTTAGTACTGAAGTTCGATCTATTTCTGTCTTAAGTAATCATACGTTAAGGTGAGAAAGGTAAGGAGTAGGTATGCAAGCCGTTTTATCATTTAATTGAGATTTCGATATGAGATAACGCGTGAACCCGTGTGCTGCTCGTCTAAGTCGAAAAAAAGAACGTCATACATAATATTTTATACATACACCGATTTCTCGTAAATGTACAATTGATTTTCCTAAAATACACTTTTGTTACCATGCCGTTATAAATAGGCTAGCGCTGAAACATAGATGGCACATAACCGTATTGTTGTAATAGGTAAGTAGGTACCTGTCAGTAGGTACATAATTTTACGTATTACTACATTAATGTATCTAAGCTACGTACTACGTAGCCAGTTTATAGATAGTACCTATATCATCTATATATAGACAATTCCATTGTATAATAATATATTATCCTATATTATGTATAGGAAATTGCTATTACCCGACCAAGAACAGAAGATACTAGCAACTCGATATTCTTATTCCAGTACTAGGAGTTACGATACACTTTGAATTATTAGTGTTTCCGAACTCTTCGTGTGAACCCCGTCGACGAAATCATTCCATCCAGCCGTCGAAGCCGTATTCTCGGGGGTTTGGGATTGTGGTTTTTCATAAATCTCGAAAGGAAATGTGCCAATAACTATACAAAACGAAGGTACGTGTATGCTTTTTCTATATTTTGGTAAATATCAGGAATGTCGTAGTTGATTACTTTGAGCATTTATGGTATAGCTTTCCCAGGCATCTTCTGTCCCTTTTTAACAAACGTGTTGTAAGGATGTGTTTTATATTTTCTCTCGTTCACACTAGTAATATAACACCGTTGTGCTCGGTCGTGTCACGTAAGAATCTTTCATATTTTTGCTAATATTGAGGGTTAGATTGAGTAAAATTTTGTAGTTNGAATGTCGTAGTTGATTACTTTGAGCATTTATGGTATAGCTTTCCCAGGCATCTTCTGTCCCTTTTTAACAAACGTGTTGTAAGGATGTGTTTTATATTTTCTCTCGTTCACACTAGTAATATAACACCGTTGTGCTCGGTCGTGTCACGTAAGAATCTTTCATATTTTTGCTAATATTGAGGGTTAGATTGAGTAAAATTTTGTAGTTTCGGTTTCTGAATGTGTTCGTGAGTTTGAGTTTTTGTTTTTTTATTAAGAATTTTCGTATATTATTCGAAATAGGTCGTGCTAACTTTCACTCTAGATATAGATAGATATCGTGGAAGATATAGACAGATATAGGTACATACCACTATAGATATCCAACATCGAGTCGTTGAGTCTCAAGGCCGAAATACACAAATACAAGTACAATAAGAAAAGAATATTGAATTTTGTAGAAATGTGAAATTGTGTTTGCAGTATAGTGTAGTTGAATCCCTGTGTTCGTGTTGCGAAACGCAAAAAGATTGTGAACTGCTTGTGAACACGAAATACGAATGGCGTATTGGGAGTTGGGACACGTTCATTTTGTTATTTCCACGGGAAAATTCTCTACATTATAATAATTTCTGTAATTTCCCAAATGATTCCGTCGGATTAACGCTTCAGTTTTATACAAGTAAGCAAATTTATAACGTGTTTATGTCTCTTCTACTATCAACAACCACTAAATAATTTTCCGCAAACCAATGGAGAGTAAAATGTATGCCACGATAACCTCAATTACCAAATAATACTATTTTATATCGTAAATTTTATATTTAGTACTAAATTGAGGGATATTTGGTAGTTTTTTTTTTGATGCATTTTAAAACTGAATGACGCCGTTCTATTCAGATAACTGAAACGTCACGAGCTGACCAAGCTGCTAAGGATCTGCCGAGCCCGAATTATCTGTGATATACAGCTCAGCCTCTCGTCCGTCCTATAAGGTCAGTTGATTTGACTTTGTTTACTTGGTGTAAAGTATCAAAACCTTTTCTAATAACAATAGCAAAAACAAAAAGAAAATTTCAAATAAGATAACTAAAAGAGACATGTGCTATAGGTATTTTGTTCATTTATTATAGGGCTGGGCCACCTGGGGCTAGGAGGCGAGTCTGCAGCAGCTTCCAGCGGTGATCTCACCTGTCCTCTGTTACAGAGGCACATAAACTGCTACCTGCTTTATTGACTGCATCACTACGAACCATTGTTACTTAGTCTTTAATTGAAACAATATGCAATCTGTGAAAATAAGTATAATGCTAGGTGGATATTGTAGAAAATTCTATTTATAATAATTGTCTGATGTCTAATGTTTCTGTAATATTATGTGTTCCACATTTAATTAAGGATAATTGTTACTCCAATATTAATACTGTTACCGAACCAATGCAATGTAAAGACACCACCTTAATGTTGGTGGTGAACACAAATAAATTTGGTGCTTCTAAGCGAGTCGAAGAAAAGAATGAGAGTCAGCGAGTTAGTGTAAAGATGATAGATAATAATATTTATAATGTAGAGTTTGTTGTTAGTGTCCGACAAAACCAAATGATTGGCGATACGCCTAACTACTGCATTCCTTTAAAGATTAACGCCATAACAGTCCAGGGTATCTCATACAGTGACCCGTATTTCAGTAGCTTTAACTTAAAGTATAAGATGGCGTTTCGAGCGCCAGAGTATATGAACAAGTCTGATTACGCTTTTAAATCCTCAGTTTGTATTATACAACATGAGTCTTGTGAGATGCAACTACTGAATGATAAGTCTGCTCATGATATAATGTGCAAAACGAAAACTCGAATGATCAGTGACACAGAAATGTCCCTGAGAACGCACCATGACAATAATGTATCGATACTTCATGATGAATTGGCCCTTGTGCCACACGTAAAGACATTTACAAATGGTGATCTCACCTTTGAAGCTATGATAGAATTAGCAAATAACGAGAAGAAAATTATAAATACTATGAAAAGCTCAGATCTGGATAGTTGGGGGAACCCATATCGTCTTAGGCTTTGTGGTGGAGGTGAAAGTTCCCTCAATGCTGGCAGTGGCTGGGGCAGTCCTCCAACAGCCAATAATAATGGTGAGCTTTATATATTTTTTATTATTAATTTATCTAAACAACCAAATAAAATTTAAACACTTGTGAAAAGGCAAATAGTTTTGCTTTTTTTAATAAAAATATTTGACAGCTGTTCTATTCTGTTGTTAAATAACTTGATGATATAATAAAACTGGATGAATTTTTTATTCCCACCAGCTGGTAACTGGGGTGGTAGCACCAGTGGTCAAACAAATAACGGAACAAACAATACTCAGCAATGGAATAATACAGCTCAACGTCCGCCTACTTCTCAAGCTGATTGTAAGTCCTCTAATGCCTTTTTATTATGATCAACATTGTTTCTGTTTTTGAATAATGCCAAAATTTTAGTTTATGATTCATTGAAATTTATTTATTGTATTTGACAGTGAACAGCAACAAGGGCAATGGAAACCAATTGCCACCAACCAGTGCTGCATCTGCACAAAATTGGCAAAATTCTCCACCAAACCTGCCGAATTCACAACCTAACAATAATGGAGCACCTGCTAGTAATGGTTAGTATAATTATGTGAGCCATAACTATTTTTTGAGACCTTAATTAACATATGTTATCTTTGAACAGGTACAAATAATACAACTAATGGAAATAATGGAATTAATAATGCTAATGGGGGTGTGAATGGTTCAGCTGCTGGCAATGGGACCAATGGTAACAACAACAGCACTTCATCAGCCAAAATTGAACAGTTAAATTCAATGAGAGAGGCATTATTTAGTCAAGACGGTTGGGGAGGTGTAAGTATAGAATACAATAAAATAAAAATCACAAATGTCCATTATAAGTATAATAATATAATTCATTTTTTCTGTTTTAATAGCAACATGTTAATCAAGACACTAATTGGGATGTCCCCGGTTCACCTGAACCCGGTGCAAAAGTTGAACCAACAGCAGCAGGAGGACCTCCTGCATGGAAACCCAATGTTAATAATGGTGCTTTCCTTGGAACTGATCTGTGGGAAGCTAATTTGAGAAATGGTGGACAACCACCTCCACAACCCGCTTCTAAGACACCTTGGGGTCATACTCCGACGACTAATATTGGTGGCACCTGGGGAGAAGATGATGATGTTTCTGATTCTGCTAATGTGTGGACTGGGCCTCCACCACCACAACAGTGGCCAGCTGGTCCACCACAACATTCTCAGCAATGGGGCATGCCAAAGAAAGATGATTGGAATGCTTGGGGTGAACCTCATAGAGGAGCAGATCCAAGATTGGATCCACACAGAGGCTCCGACCCTCGGCAGCAGCCCGTGGATCCGCGTCATGATCTGCGTGGTGGTATTTCCGGTAGACTCAACACTGATATGTGGAGCCAGCATCAACATACAGGACCGAGCAAGATGATGCCAGGCAGTGGTGTCAGTCAATGGGGAACACAGGTGAGTGTCGTGAGTGCCGCTGATGTTTTCGTTAAAAAAGTTATCTTCCAAGAGAGTAACCATTTCGACAATTGACAGGGACCAAAGGACTCTATCAAATCGAGTGGATGGGAAGAACCTTCACCACCAGCGGCGCGGCGCACTGGCAGTGGATTTGATGACGGTACGGCGTTGTGGGCTCAACGAACTGGAATGAGTATGGGTCGTGGAGGCCCACAGGGACCGCCCACCCAGTCTCGGATACCGCCTACGCCCACTAAACCTGATGCGGTGTGGGGCTCTCACTCTCAGCGAAATGGTTCTTGGGAAGAGCCGCACGCTCCGGCGTGGCCCGACCGAGATGGGCCAGCTTGGCCGGATGCATCTGGCCCGGGATTATGGCCCGTGCCCAAACCGAAACCGTCCGGCCCTGCAGGTGGCTGGCCTGACGATATTGGAGAGTGGGGTGGGCCCAAACCACCTCAAGGGTCCCTAGCCAAACAGCTTCCAAAAGAAGTCATTTGGAATAGCAAACAATTCAGGTCTGTTCTATATACATGTTCATAAGGAAGCTTTGTTCTTCAGTTTTAAAACATAAACATAATTAATTTCATTTTATGTTAAATTTAGATTTCTGGTGGAAATGGGTTTTAAAAAGGAAGAGGCAGAAGTAGCCTTGCGTAGTCGCGACATGAACGCTGAAGAAGCGCTAGAACTGTTAGCAGGCGCACGAGGTGATGGTTGGCGACGCGATGAACATTTTCATCCTGGAGGTGGATTTCAACCTCCTTCCGTTCCCGCGGTATCGCCTGCTGTTGTACAGAAACTGCTCAACCAACCTCCACCGCAGCCAGTGCACCATCAACAATATCCCACCAGGTACATCGGTTGATACTTTTTTACATTTGCAAACATGATTAAAATGTAAATTCTTCATATCTTTAAACTAAAGTCATTATAATGTTGTTCTTAATTTATAATTGTACTTTGTTATTTCTAGTGGTACGGGTAATAGTGGGCAGCCAAGTGCTGCTCAGCTCCGCATGCTAGTCCAACAAATACAAATGGCTGTCTCTGCTGGCTACCTCAATCATCAAATACTGAATCAACCACTGGCGCCTCAAACCCTCGTTTTACTAAACCAACTTCTACAACAGGTGTGTATATAAATATCATCAGTATTATCTGTGCTGAAACAATTTTTAATTTCAAAAAATAATCTGTAATTTTTTTACATTACCTGTCAAAGCAAAGTTGACCTCTATGTGCAGATCTGGTACAGATTCGTTTAAACTATACAACTTTCTCTCCTTTCAATAAAATAAAAATTCCCTTTACAGATAAAAGTACTTCAGCAGCTTTTACAGCAAAACTCATTGGCTATGGCGAAAGGGCACTCTTCGGTTGCCCTACAATACTCTGTACAAATTACTAAAGCGAAGCAGCAGATAACTGGGCTACAAGTAAGCTTGATCATTGTTTGTTAAATTTCTTGTTACATATTTTGTATAAATATAAATTCCATGAACAAAGTTACTTAAATTAGGTAATCAATAGTGTAATCGAATACAAATTTAGTTGTTACTTTACTGAATTACCATAACATGTTTTTAAACATAATCATATTTTCTTAATAGTTCTAACAAGGTTAAATTAATTTAGAATAAATGTTGAAGAGTATAGTTCCTATGCTTCGTTTTAAAGAAATGACATAACGTAATTTTGTTCTATCTAGAACCAAATAGCAACACAGCAAGCATTGTACATGAAGCAGCAAAGTGGAGGCGCAGACTTGTTCAAGCAGGGTCATGATCCACTCGGTCCATTACAGAGCAATTTTAATGAAATATCCATCACGAAAGATACACAACCGGTGAGAGTTATATGTTTTCCAAAAAATAAAATTTCGGTTTTGGTAACACTGATATTATTTGCATACAAACCTATATGGGATATGATACAGCATCATCATGTGCTAGACATATGATTTCTTTCTATAGTAAGGAGATAATCATTATGAACTGAGTATTTTTCTTTATTTCATCTAAAGTTTTATTAGATTTAGTAGTGATCCCAACAATTAAACTCATATATAGTATGACCATATTTTTACTGGTGGTAGGACCTCTTGTGAGTCTGCACGGGTAGGTACCACTGCCCCGCCTATTTCTGCCGTGAAGCAGTAATGCGTTTCGGTTTGAAGGGTGGGGCAGCCGTTGTAACTAAACTTGAGAACTTAGAACTTTTATCTCGAGGTGGGTTTACGTTGTAGATGTCTACGGGCTCCAGTAACCACATAACAACAGGTGGGCTGTGAGCTCGTCCACCCATGTAAGCAATAAAAAAAAATGTATATATATTCAGAATGGTGTAAAAAAAGTATTAAATTATACATTATAACATAAAAATTATGTTTTTAGTCTTTTGGTGGAAGTGGAAATCAGCAGTCTCGCTTAACTCAGTGGAAGTTGCCTTCTCTTGACAAGGAAGGTGAAGGCTCGGAATTTAGCCGTGCCCCCGGTACTGCCAAGTCTGCGACAAGTCCTCAACTTAACCAGCTAGGATTGCAGCCTGATTCGTAAGAATTACTTGTTAAACAAATCTAATTTTCGTTAATGTGACATATAGATGTCCAGAAAAACCTTTTATCATTTAAAATTTTTAAAACTTGTTAGTTTAAAAAAGCTTTTTCTTAAACTGTATCACTTACCTGTCTGTCATTCAGTGAATTGAAGTGAACAGAAGATAAAAGACTTAATTTCGTTTTTGGTAATTTAATAAGAAAACAACATTTAAAGCTCTTATCTAATTTCTTTTTAAATCAATATTTTAAACAGTACTGTAGCAGTACAGTAATGAATGAGAGACATGTGATTCAGTCTAAGATTTTTTTTCTTAAAACTAGAGTTTTGAAGATTTGAAAGGAAAAGATTTTTTTTACATAGATTATTGCTATCCAATTTGTAAAGGGAACTAAAGGTGGAAATGTTGCAAATGTAAAAAAAAAAATATTTAAAGGTACATATTATAAGTTTTTATTTGGCATTAATATCTAAATACCGATTATGTTTAGGACATGGGGAGTAGGTCGTGGCTCTGAGGGCTGGGGCGACACTACTTCTGATGTGGCCGACGGAAAAGATTGGCCCACCCATACGTCCCACCAGCCTGTCTTTGATCTTGTACCTGAGTTTGAACCTGGAAAACCTTGGAAGGTGATATGCTTTTATTTTCTCTACTGCAACTTACTAACTTACTACTGTAGACTAAAAGGCTGCTGCAATGCTGCTTATTGTTAAGACATTTTAATTTAAGCTTCAATTTGCTGACTCTTGTCATATTTATGAAGGCTCATATCCTTTAAAGTGTGTCTTCACGCATGTGCCCATCTTACCTGAATAGAATTGATTGGTTTTAACCACAAAGACGTCATGTAACATTGTATAGTCAAATCATGTAAATTAAATTAATGCCACATATATTCACAACTAGTATTGAAATTTGGATAAATCAAAAGCTGGGATAAATAATAAAATATAAAAATATAAATTTTAGTTTTTGCAGTAATAGTTTAATTGTTCTCTTTTCAATATAAATAATTTTATTAAATGTTTTTTACTGCATTATATATTCTATGAAAATTAAATAAAATTCGTAATATATACACATGCATTTGTTGACATGAACATTGTGAAGTCCAGTAACACCTCAACAGTACTTGGTACTTATTTGCCTGTTTCTTGTTTTATTTTAAATTTTTAAAACTTGAGTTTTCTACTAGGGTAATCAGATGAAGAGCGTCGAAGAAGACCCTGCGATGACACCCGGTTCAGTCGTCCGATCACCATTGTCGCTGACTGCCATCAAGGATACCGACATGCTAGGAGGCAAGAGTTCCCCGCCCGGCGCTGAGCGCAGCCTCTCCTCGTCTACGTGGAGCTACGCGCCGAGCGCTGCCGCCGGCAAGGACGCGTGGGCCGGCAAGCCTCGCGCCGCACCGCCCGGTCTGAACAAGCCGTGGCCCCAGCCGCGCCATCCGATCCCGTCTTGGCAGGCTTCCACTTGGCTCCTTCTCAAGAACCTCACAGCTCAGGTCTTATATCTATCCATCTATCCTCTGCTGACTTGGAAATTACAAAATGATTATTTTGCTAACTAGAATATCTTTAACAGATTGATGGTTCCACACTCAAGACCCTGTGCGTGCAGCATGGACCTCTTCTGAACTTTCACTTGTACTTAAACCAGGGGTTGGCTTTAGCTCGCTATTCCACTCGCGAAGAAGCTGCCAAGGTAAGCAGACGTGTCAATATATCTGTAACTAGCGACCCGCCCTTGCTTCGCTTCGGAAACATTAAAACACACATGAAACCAAAAAAATAAAAAATTTTTTTTTTTTAAAATGTCGCCTATGTTCATCAGGGATAATGTCGGCTTCTAATGGAAAAAGAATTTTTCAAATCGGTCCAGTAGTTTCGGAGCCTATTCGACACAAACAAACAAACAAATCTTTCCTCTTTATAATATTAGTATAGATATATTTTAATATTTATTTATTTATTATTAACATAGAAGTAGAAACACAATCATAATTTGCATCTGTGCGTGAACTAGGTGATAAAACCTGTATCTCGAGCAGCAGTGCTCCTCGTACAAAGAATACAAGCGCTTTACTTCAAATACACAAAAATAGACAAAAATTAAACTGAAGTTCATGGATTGCATAAAAGTGACAATATGTGAGCTTAAAAATATAACAATTAACAAAAAATATAAAAATGAATGTATTAATGTACCCTCTGTATGTAATGAGTCTGAGCATGAGTGAGTGTAATAGGGGTAGTTTTCCAATTACAGCGCATAATGCGACTCAATGGCACACAATTCCGAATTATGCTGAAGCTTTGAAGTCGTCGTGGCCTAACGGATAAGACGTCCGGTGCATTCGTGTTGAAGCGATGCAACGGTGTTCGAATCCCGCAGGCGGGTACCAATTTTTCTAAAGAAATACGTACTCAACAAATGTTCACGATTGACTTCCACGGTGAAGGAATAACATCGTGTAATAAAAATCAAACCCGCAAAATTATAATTTGCGTAATTACTGGTGGTAGGACCTCTTGTGAGTCCGCGCGGGTGGGTACCACCACCCTGCCTATTTCTGCCGTGAAGCAGTAATGTGTTTCGGTTTGAAGGGTGGGGCAGCCGTTGTAACTATACAGGAGACCTTAGATCTTGTATCTCAAGGTGGGTGGCGCATGTACGTTGTGGATGTCTATGGGCTCCAGTAACTACTTAACACCAGGTGGGCTGTGAGCTCGTCCACCCATATAAGCAATAAAAAAAAATAAAAAAAAAAGCTTAATTGGAACGTGAAATAGTTTCCAAATGCATCAGCAGAGTGCGCTAAGTTAAATGTTGAAAAAAAATTCATGGAGTTAGCAACCTCATTAATATATAAATAATGTGGTAAACAATAATTATTGGTTGGAAACTATTTACGATTATTTTAAGTAATTTGGATTTTGATTATTTCATTAACATTTTTTTAGGTTTTGAGTATTTATTTTAAATGAGTTCTAAGAAAATTATATACTTTTTAATTGAATCATCCATACTTATATTTATTTTTTTAGCAGTTTGATTTAACTTGCTAAAATTATTTTTTATTATTTACTTTGATTATTTCCAAAAAACTACGACAAAACGAAAGCCTTACAAATTTTTTCAACAATAAATAATATTACTAACGATAATATAAACAAAATTTCGATCAATGCCAACTTAAAGAAAAAACACTTGTCAATTTTCTGTCACTGAGTCTGTATCGATTGCGAGTATCACGCGAGAGCAGTACTTTTGAGAGTGTTCGATTGTGCAAAGCGTTGCTGTAGTTGGAACATTCAACGTTGAGCATTATGCCGCATAATGCGCTCTTGTGCTGTAATTGGAAAACAGGGAATGTGTGTGTGGGTGTAGTCAAAAACATTAAAAATTATTTAACAAAAATTCAGTGTTCTCATAGTTAAAATGTGTGTACTTTTATTATGTGTATTGGATTTTTTGACTAACGATAAAAATATCTTTGGTGTTTGTACAGGCTCAGATGGCACTGAACAATTGCGTGTTGTCTAACACGACGATATTCGCGGAGTCTCCCGCGGAGTCGGAGGTGCAGCTGATCCTGCAGCACCTGGGTTCGGGCGGCGGCGGTGCCTGGCGCGGCGGCGGTCAGACCAAGGAATGGGCAGGGTACAACTCGCTGTGGCCCGACCAGCACGACCAGCGGGCGACGCCCTCCAGCCTCAACTCGTTCCTGCCGCCGGACCTGCTCGGCGGAGAGTCCATCTAAATCGAGTCGGCTTGGTTCCTCGGATAGAGTTAAGACTCGTTTGCGGAGGTGAGTCAGCGCTTGCCTCCGTTTCCTCATATTTATTTTGTTGCGCTCGAGGGCTGTTGCTGTTTTGTCCGTCGGGCGATCGCGTTCCGAGATTTGTTCGTGTTCGTTTTTTTTTTTTTAATTTTTATTATTCGTGTTTTTTTTTTTTTTTTTTTTAATTTATATACGTCGTGTTTTAAACTGTTTAATTTTAGTTTTGAATCCTCACCGTGGGCGTCGAGCTTTCGTTTTCCATTAGTGATATTTACGCAGCAATAAAAACGCAAGTGCATTTCACAGATTAACAAAGATGTATAATTAGTTTGTAATTTTTATAAAATTAACGAAATTCATATATATACATATATATATACTATAATAATATTAAATAATATAAAATAATGAGATTGTGTATGTGTTGTAAGCGCACGGTCACGGACACGAGTACGCGCGGGGATTCCCGCGTCCCAGTAATCCTGTGATGTAAAATATCTTGCCTAACGTAAGGATAATGTATTTTGTTGGACCAGCGTCGAGTCGCCGGCGGTCGGCCTTCGTCGATGCTAAAATTTCCCCAAATTTTTTCCAGTATTTGTGATTCAAGTGCCACTTTATGTTTAATATTATCTATATTAAACGATTATCTAGAATATACGATTAATGTAAGGATAACCTGATATATTTAAATTGAAAATTGTTTTATCATTTTATAATATTACACACGTTTGTGAGAGACGCGTTAAAAAAAAAAAGTACTATGAACGACCGTAATTAAAAATATTACACTTTTGTGTATAGATAATAGTAAAGTTCTAACTTAAATTTAGCCATATCAATGTCTATTTAATATAAAAAAAAAGATTTGTGGTATTTTCTATAGGCTCAATTTGAACGTTATTCAAAGTGACATATGCTTTAGATATTCTGTTAATGATATACTTGTAGTAGTCGTAACTCGGTCGGTATTACATCATCGTAGCATTAAGCGTTAAATATAAGTCTTAACTTAGGTTTCAAGTAAGCATACTGCTGATTATATAGAAAGGCAACGATCGCACCCTGTACATTTAAATATCCATAAAGTTTATTTACAATTATTTTTTTATTTACTATTTAATTTATTGTTGGTGTGCCACAGAGATACTCTGCCAAATACGTTGTGTAAGAACGGGTCTGCGTTCATCTCGATCGGGCGCGTGTTCGCCTTCCATTGCGGCGTGGGATTAGGCGCGACCGCGGCACTGTACTCTATATATAACTCTAGTGTGATGTGTTCATTTAGAGAAAGTAATTAGAGTTTTCATTATGTAGCTGTTAAGTACATACCGAAGCCGGATGTTTCGCGTTTTTCTTCGTTATTTGCGTGTTTTTCGTTGCTTTTATCGACTCTTTAACATCGTCATTTCGAACGCGGAGCTAATATAATTATCGGATAGTACAAAACGAAACGAGTGCTTTCGATTGTCTAATGAGATGATGATATTTTTTTATTACGATGCCGCCTCATCATGGCACGCGCGGGCTCGCCTCAGGGGCCATAGTCGAGATCGACACGACGTTTTATCTGTTAGGTGCCAAAGAGTGAGTATCAAAGATGAATATGTCCGGATTGTTTGCATTTTTTTTTTTTTTGAACTTTTGTGAAGATTCTTCCAAATTATATAAATAACGGGTTAATGATCTGATGTTCCTATGACATTCGTTACTTTTGCAATAGTTGTTTGACAAATGACTCGAACGTCGATATAATAAGTATTGTTGAGAAGCTCAATGATTTTACCTGAGAATTATTTCATAACGAATAAAATAAAACGTATCGTTTTAAACTGTAACCGCTCTGTCCCCACGGCGCCGATGTCGGCGGGCGTGTCATATTCAGTCGTTTGTTGGTGCAAATTCGAATTTTACAGCAATAAATTAAAATATAATAAATTAATTTTATATAAAAAAAAAATTTTCAAAGTTTTAATGTTAGTCGTGCTGATCATACGGAGAGTGTAATGATCGAGCGCCCTATAGGAATTACATTGTCCATAGTGTTGTAAAACGAAAGAAGTATATAATATAATTAATGCCTTGAAAATTGTAGTCAGTAAAACTTATCAGTACTTAATAATTATAATAGATGTGCAGTAATTATGTGGGCGGTTTTTGCGACCGCGAAAGGCAAGGTTGTGAATGTGGCGCCGAAATGACGAGTCGCGCTGCTCTGAATCTCTACGCGGTTCTTCGGCCGCGACATATTCCCAGCACACAATTATTGCGCCATGTGCAATTTAGTCTGTGTTATTATTACGTTGTTGTATAATAATAATAATAATATTATTAATAATAATAATAATAGTAATTGTATCTTACAATATTTATGTATATTGTGGAATAATAATATTCGATAAAATATTTAAAAAAAAATACGCTTCACGCTTTTCAATTTTAACTCTTTTTTTTTTCATCTTGACCTTTCTGTTATATAGGATAAATCTACGTACCTAAAAGTAATTATTATAGTAATTATCGTAGAGTTTATAATAAATGTAAGAAAGAAAAAAAAATAAAAAAAAAAACAAAAAAAAATAAAAAAAATATTGAAAAGTAAATAAATAAACGAAAAGCAATTAAAAGTAACCAATGATTGTGCCTCAATGAACTGTGGTACGTTACCGTAAAATGGCAGATATGTATTATTGATTTGTTTGATGAATGTTATCGTAATGAAATTGTGCGTTGGACTTTCCCTCGTGACTAGATGTTAGGACAATATAAGGCTGCGTGCACCCCACGCCTTGTGTAATCATAAAATGAGCTTAGCTACGTTTTAATTTTATTGTAGTTGTTATGTGTCGTCGAATCAACATTTTTTTATATATACAACAAAAATACCTATTTATTTAAATATTTTTATATATTTTATGTCAAGCTTTTCATGAATTTTTCAACGGATTAACATGTATATGTATATGTGTATATATATATTATATTCTGTGTACGCTTCTCGTATGAAAAGTTTTAAAATCCATAGTTATTTATCCTGCAATCTTTCAAATATGTTTTCTCAAATACTTGAATGCCAAAGTGGTTGTCTAAATTCCATTTAAACGACCAGCCGACTTGAGGCGTGGATCTCCAACATCACAATAATATATTGTTCGTACAAATGGTAGCCATTTTTATTTTTTTTATTGTTTTGTAATTAATAAATAATAAAAAAAAACAGCCGCTAGTTCTCTCCAAGCTGCTCCGGTTTTATAGCTCAACTATTATAATACATATTTATGAAATTTAGTTTGCTCATAAATTATTATTGTTGTTATTTATAATGTTTTTTTTTTTAATTATTTTTTAAAATTGTCTCTTCCTTTAATCGGAGTGAAAATCGAAACGATTTGTTTTCGTAAAATGTCTCAATTTAGATGTTAAATGTTTTAAGAGAGAGAAAGAGAGAGAGAGAGAGTTCGCTTTGAGTACAGTTTTTAGTTTGGAGCTTTTACCGCCTAATTTATTAGTATTTTGTATTATTGTATCTCTTTTATTATAAATCTTTTTATTATCTCTGGATTATGTTAGCGTTGTCGTGCCATTAGTTTGTTAGAGCCCGGCCAAGATTGGAAGTTAAAAATATTGGTTTAATCAAATATATTAAGCGACAATAGGCTTACGTTTATAAAGAAAGGATCGCTACTTGTCTCTTGGGCATATTCAGGTATTAGGGACCAAAACGGGGAATATAAATTATATGTATGTATTTTTTTCTAAATAAAAATATTTAATTTTATTGCAAGTAATTTTGACAGTCTATATATATGTATATAGTATGCACTAAAAGACATTATTTTTTCAATTGTTTACAATGAAAACGGTGTCGCTTTGTACTGACAAAACTTAAAATACGGCATTAATATAGTTAATTATATAAACGATATTCAGGGCCTTTTTTAATTTGATAAAAAAGAGAAAAAAAAAACGATTAATATTTAAAAGTTAAAGTATTGCTTGTTATCTTTATTTATATATATATAAATAAAAAAAAGCTTGTACGTTACGAACGTTGACTTTTTGATACAATAGAAAGCGCATTAGGTTTTTAATATATTATCTACAATCTAGTCTTCCTTATTTACGAAGGGGTCGCATCGGTGGAGGCGTGCTTCCTATACTGGGCGCTCGTCGGCTGGCGGGGCAATCATACCTCTAGTCTTGTTATGTGGTGCGTTAACTCAATACCAAATATATTAAACGAAGGCTTTGACCTAGTGTAGAGGGTAACTGTAGATTCGACCGGGGGCAGCTTGGATCCAATCGCGTTCACGACCAAACGATTCGGTAGTATTATTGTAATGCATTTAATATTCTCTTTTTTTTTTTGTCATAGTCACTCGAGCATGTCAGTTTTTTTTTTTTTTAATTAATTAATTAATTGAGCTAATGCCTAAAAAAAAGATTGGATTATCAGAGTTTATTTAGGATGTTTCATAGTTTACATTTTAGTGTTAAAACAAATTTACCTTAATTATTGTAGTAAATGGATTTTTGTATTATCGGTATATTATATTATTATATAGCTGTAAGGATAAAGGGTGTTCTTGATAAACACAAACAACTGAACTTTAAATACAAAAAATAAATAAAAATAAATAATAATGTACTGAGTGACTTTACGTGTAAACAGAGGGCCATTGATAAAAAAGAATGTTGTTTAAGCTAAATTCTCTATATTACGATTAATTAAATGTGATCGTTGAGAATATTTTTATCCGCTATATAATTATAGTTATAATAGTTGTATAAGTGTTCGGTTATCTTTTGTTTAGGGTGGGACCACGCGAGCTCTGGGGCTCGCCGTGTCCCCGATCACTTGTCCCTTCCATTGGAACACTCCCCTTCTGAACATGTAATGATTCAGTATGTTGCTTTAGATCGGTTGTTGTGGCCAGTGTACGTTGTCAAGGCCAAAACCCCACCAGCGGTTAAACGAAGCAGTGGCCTATAGATTGCTGCTCGCTAACTAAAAAGCACTGCTCCCCCTAGTCTCTCGCATTAGAATGTCGCACGCACGACTGTATCGAGCATAATTTAACGATCATATCCTATCAATCTAGTTTTATTCGTATTATTCTTTCATTAGATCTCTGTTGTACCTGTGTCGAATTGTTATGTTCAATTTGTACCGTATGAGTAGTATTGACTCGCGTTTCGAGAACACCGCGCTCTCCGCACACACACACACAAACACACACATACACATATATACGTAATTGCGTAGTTCGATCGACCAATTCTTAATGTTCGACGATGATAAACTCGACTAAACTCCTCGTTCTGACGATATTTTTGTATGTTTGGCGTCGAAAATCAAATACTCTGTGGTCTTAAAACTTAGTCACTTTTGTACCTTGATCGTACTTGAATAAACTGATATCCTATTGTAAGAGAGGAATGACGAATCCAATTCTGATATATACTTAATTTAAATTTTGACAGACTGATATCTGTGATTAAGAAGATATATTTAATATTATCCAGTGAGTCGGATGAAAATATTTATTTTGTTAGGTGTTACCTACCGCCGACGGCGCACACCCGCTCATGCGACGAGACATAAATGATATAACGCGTAATCGCTTTGATTAGTTTGAGTTTTTTTTTAAATTCCTTTAACGAGGTATCGAGTCTGAGTACATTATGATGGTCGTCACACGAATGAGTCGTCTACCGTTGTCGGTTGATATATTGTACAAAACGAACAAAAGTCTTTAGTAATAATTTAAAAAAAACCCACCATATTCAGAAGTTAGACATCCTTCCCGTCGAGTCCAAACTTTGAATGTATTCGTGTTTATATGACATCGTAAGAGTCCGCGCCCGGACAGACTGATCTAAGGAAATTATCGAGTACCACCGATGTCATCTGAACTATGTTTCCCTTAACGATTGATCTATGAACGTTGCATATCGATTACATTTCTTATTCGAATTATTTTGTTGTATTCATATCCGTGATTTCAATATTGCGATTTAATTTAAACGGTAATGTTTCTATGTTAACATAATAATAATAATAATAATAATGGACACAAATCGTTGTACGCCCGTGTAGACCGCCGATCCGTAATTGAACAATTGGTGTAATTATTTTCGTAATAAACTTAAAAGAAAATAAATTCGGTACCACCTTTATTATTTTAAAGTACAATTCTAGTTAATAAAGAATGTTTCAGCGACGTATTAAATCGTTAAATTATATCGGAATAAATCTTAATAATGTTAATTTTAATAAGGTAGCGTTAGGCTTAAGGGCTGTCTCGTCTCGCATTACACCAATTAAATAATTATTCTCCTCAACAATATATCTATATTCATATTGGAACACTAAACTTTATAGAGAACTTACTAAATTATTGCATAATTATAAATATCAATAGGATAATAATTAAAAAATTTTCTGTGCAAATCTCTGTGATGGGAAAATTAATTCTAAAGATCTAGTATTAACTGAAGATGAAACGTGGGTCGTACTGTGAACTGTCTGCACGCTAGAGGCATGCACGTACCTACAGAATACTCAGAAATATCTCGAACGTCCGTCGTCACAGCGAGACGCACATTTCATGTTAAGGCCTCGGTTTCATCGCGACTTTAAAAGTTGAACTTTTCAGTCTTTTTCGCGCAAAGGGTTGTGTATTATTTTTTACGTAGTACAAAATGTGTTCGCAATTTGATTGCTGATGTAGTGTTCCTTGTGTTCTTAATCAATTATATTTGTTGAGTATTTATTTGAAACTTTGTATTCTGAAAACTATTGTATATTTTTATTAATTAATAGTCATGAGGCATGCGCAATAATAATAAAAAAAAAAGAAAAAAAAAGAATTCGACGTAGTAAGATGTAAACGGCTGCCTTAATAGTGATATGTATTTGTATCAATATGTACACCATCCTCTACGTATTTTCCGTCGCCGATTCAAAGTTTGGATCGTTTTTGTTCCGTCACGTACCAAATAATAGCGTAGCGTAGCCCCGCTACGTGTCTGCACACGGCCCTCGCTGGTGTCCACGGTCACCCGCGCTGGGGAGCAGTGAGGGGACGCGCAACGGGTCTGTGCTCTCCTTATTACCTCAGTCTAAACCTCATCTAGAATCTTCTAACGCTGTTCGTCCCCCGCCCAGTACTTATCGCACGCACTGCACTGTTATTTGGTACACAGTTTCTTTTAAGTTATTTATAAGGCGTTTATCGTGAATTTTTATCTTTATATCATATAGTCGATATATTTTATTGTTATTTTTCTGATACTAATAAACTTAAAAGCAATGTATATTACAAAAACAAAGCAGGAGAACAATAATTATTATGTAAGTGTAACAGTTAGTGAATTTAAGTGTGCTATTTTCCATTCCAGAACTCAACGATATCAATGTTCTTGTAATAAACTTATGTTCGGGTTTTAAAAAGATGTTATTAATGTATAATTAAAACTAAACCTTATGTGATTGAAATGCAATGTTTAGAAGTATTTTTATTCTTTATTTTTTACCATTAATTAATAATAGTTAGTAGAGATCTATTTGAGAGTGTAATGTATCAATTATTTGTAAAGTTGGCTGTAACTAATTAGAGGTTACAATAATAATTAGACATATTTTAATATAAACATTTTGAGCAAATTTTATGTAGATGACAAATAGTTGTTTTGATGTTTATGTGAAGTGTTGTATCTTATAGAATGATATCGTTAGCGCAATGTGTACGCACACAGTGTTGGGCCCTTCGGCTCCACACTCCCTGCACACCACTGCTAGACTAATTCACTTATTGTGTAAGGATAATAAACCTTTATAGTATATAGGAAAATAAATAAATGTTTAACGAAAAGTCCCTATATAATTGAACTGACGACAGAAACGCATGTTATATTTGTGGCCTCTTTATGTATAAGATCTAAGTTACATGTTAAAGAAAGAAGAAAATATATATAATTTTTGCTATGCACAGAAATGATACTCAATTAATTGCCAAAAAGTTATATGTATATTCATAGTTCAACAATATTTCTTTTGGGCATATTTACTTTGAATTTATGCAAAACTTAGATTATGGTAAGTAGGTTGTAGATTATATGTAGATTGGATGCATATATTATTATAAAATATATCTATATATTTAAAGTAAGCTGAATTTCAGAAGTATCAATTCTTGTATTGTTCGTAAGTTTAGATAATAAATGGGTTTAGCCATACTTCGGCTGGTTTGATATGTATGTTATCTGATTAATTGTAAAAAATAAAAAAAATCAATAAAAATATGTGCGTTTTATTTATCTCCAGTAGTTTTGAACCCCATTCACAATGCCACATAAAAAATCGAATTCAAGGATCGTATCTCGAAAACATTGAAGTCGTGGTTTAAAGGATAAGACGCCAGATACATTCGTATCAAGCGATGCAACGGTGTTTGAATTCTGCAGGTTGCTACTAATTTTTGTAATGAAATAATAACTTCATGCAATAAAAATTAAACCCGCAAAATTCTAATGTGCATCTTTTGAGTCCACACGGACAGGTACGACCACCGATTTCTGCCGTGTAGCATTAATGCGGTTCGGTTTGAAGGATGGGGCAGTCGTCCTGTAAAAGCAGACCTTAGAAATCTTGTTTCAAGGTGAATGGCGGCATTTACGTTGTCATTTATGTCTACGAGCCACTAAACGTCAGGAGGGCTGTGAACTCGTCCACCCATCGATAATAAATAAAAAAGTTACGGTTTAACGCAAAACGCGTCAGGAAAAATTTTCCGCATCTTACAGCTCCAAATTGCTATTGTCTATGACTTATTTTCTTTTTTAAATTAATATTATTAGAGAACATTTTTTAAAATTTATCAATGTGAATTTTGCCACCAACCCATCAAAATGGACCCAATCATTGGCGGTATTTAAACAATTTTTGTGTTGTCCAGCTGGAGCACTGGGTATGAATACTCCAGAGGGTCCCACAAACAAGTTCGAAAAGGAATGGTAGCGAGCGAGGTGCGGACGTATTCTCGTGTGTATGCTTCGGTGGTTGCGGGTGAACTGTCGGCGCCAGTAAAGGCGCACGCGCGGCTTGCCAAAAGGAAAGCCCCCTCGGTCGCTACTCTTTGAATCGCGCCGGGAGCCGACAACGAGAGTCCCTGATTGGTCGCGGCGCGCGATCAGACGCGGCTGCCGACGCGGCAGGCGTTAGGGTTGCTATACAATGAATTAATTCTATGATCTAGACAGGCTAACCAGCAGATAGTCGTGCCACTAATGCCCTAATCGCAGACTGCATTGAAATACTACACTACAGTTTTGATGTCCACACAGTATTTCAACCGCATCCCATCATCCACTGACAGCCAAACCGAAGCCACACCTCGCTTAAGCCTACGGATGGCGAGTGGCAGTAATTTATTAAGCCGTTACTTTGTGCTAAATTCTCGTATAGTTGATTAATAAATAAAAGCAAATGCCTGAATATGGTTTGAAGTAGCATTTCCACTTTTCGCATTCTATTACAAACTAATCGAATAAGTTGTCCAGTTAATTTGCATTTTTCCAAATACTTAAAAACTCGAATTTTGAAGAATACACAAAGGCGTGAGCTGGTTGGTCTGGTAAACAATAATGGCCAACATTTTTATTAAATTATTGCATTTTTTTTTTTTATTGCTTAGATGGGTGGTTTTTTTTTTATTGCCCTTGTAGGCAGACGAGCATACGGCCCACCTGATGGTGAGTGGTTACCGTCGCCCATGGACTTCAGCAATGCCAGGGGCAGAGCCAAGCCGCTGCCTACCGTTTAATACTCTCCACAAGCCACGTTTGAAGAAGGACATGTCATAGCGCTCGGGAAACACCGTGGAGGGGAGCTCATTCCATAGCCGGATGGTACGTGGCAAAAAAGACCTCTGGAAACGCACTGTGGATGACCGCAGTGGCTCCAGGTAGTATGGACGAACTCTACTCCGGTGGCGGGCGGTGCGATGGTAAAAACGAGATGCCGGTATCATCTCGAACAATTCCTCAGAGCACTCCCCATGGAACATACGGTACAAAATACAGAGGGAACCGAAGTCCCTCCGCAGACCCAGAGGTTCCAAACGATCCGTGAGAATGGGATTATCGACAATCCGAACGGCCCTCCTCTGTATGGAGTCAAATGGAAGAAGCTGGTATTTGGGAGCCCCGGCCCAGAGATGGGAGCAGTACTCCACGCGAGGCCGGACTTGTGCTTTATAAAGCAAAAGCCTTTGTCCAGGCGTGAAGTACCGCTTCGCTCTGTTGAGGACTCCCAGCATTTTGGACGCCAACTTGGCTTTGCCTTCCAGATCACTCCGAAACTGGACATCGCTCGAAATGTCGACCTCAAGTATCCCAATACTCTCGGAAGGTTGCAGGGATACTCCTTAGAATTGCGGCGCCATGACAAAGGGGTCCTTCTTCTCACAGCCCACCTGGTGTTAAGTGGTTACTGGAGCCCATAGACATTTACAACGTAAATGCGCCACCCACCTTGAGATATAAGTTGTAAGGTCTCAGTATAGTTACAACGGCTGCCCCACCCTTCAAACCGAAACGCATTACTGCTTCACGGCAGAAATAGGCAGGGCGGTGGTACCTACCCGCGTGGACTCACAACAGGTCCTACCACCAGTAATTACGCAAATTATAATTTTGCGGGTTTTACTTTTATTACACGATGTTATTCCTTCACCGTGGAAGTCAATCGTGAACATTTGTTAAGTACGTATTTCATCAGAAAAATTGGTACCCGCCTGCGGGATTCGAACATCGGTGCATCGCTTCAAAACGAATGCACCGGACGTCTTATCGTTTAGGCCACGACGACTTCAAAAGTCGTTTTAATTTGCATATTTGGCTCTTTGGATATGTAATAAGTTTGCCGACCACTGCTGTATACAAATAGAATCGGTACCTTGTTCTTTAAATTACCACTTTGAAGTCTAGTCAGAATATTTTTCACCATTTTATGTTTTTACGTTGTAGTGAATAGTCGAGTGTAGTAAGTTTTTGTCCGCAAATTCAAATTAAAAACATAGATCATTTTAAAATGTGTATTCGTTTAAATAATAATAAAACGACAATCTACATTTAAAAAGAAGTCACTAAATTATTAGATAATATAATGATATGCCAATATTTGAAATGAAAGGTAAAATTATAACTAAAAACTATTACAAATGCTATGTTCTAATTAACATACACTAAAAGTATGCTCATAAAAATATTACATAAAATATCAATAAAATTATTATAAATTTTTGGTAAACACTTTTAAACTAATTTCTTTATTTTGAGGCCTATAAACATATTTAACATTGTTTATATAATAATTGAATACAACAATAATGTAATGAATGTAAAGATTGTAAGATTAGGGTTGATACAAAAATAGCACTTGAAAATCGTACCTAATCTAATAGCACGAAGTAAGAATTATTAAAACAAATTATAGAAACAAATATGTTTCTCATATATAAAAGTATTGCTTAAACTAAACAAATACATATTATGTGTAAAATGACGAAAAATTAAAAATATATACCTATAAGTAGGTTATTTAAGAAGTTCCTTAAAAAATTTTAGAGCGTTAAATTTGCTCTAAGTTCCAAAACAGATACTCATACAGCATAAAATCCATTGTGAAATTTGAATGTCCAATCGGAATAGCCTTTGAATGGAATTTGACCTCTAATTCTATACACACGAATTCAACTCTATTCATCCTTAATCATTACATTATATCGTTTGTATGTATCTGTTATCTTGTCTCTTCCGGGCTATTCAATGTGACAAATATATGCTTGTACCAGAATTCGACAGTCTTCCCCCACGCTGACAGTGTGGCGTCGTCCAAACGTAGTACATCTATGAACAGTTTCACTATAACTTCTTTTAGCTCCTGAAATGAGAAGGATATGAGAATATTTTTTTTTAATTCGAAGTAGCACAGGTTGTCCGGACTGTACTGCCTATTATTGATGTGAAGTAACATCACTACATAGTATAAAACTAAGTCGCTTTCTCTGTCCCTATATACCTAATATACCTATGTATGCTTAAATCTTTAAAACTATGCAACGGATTTTGATGCGTTTTTTTTAATAGATAGAGTGATTGAAGAGGAAAGTTTATATGTATAATAACATCCATTAAATAGTGGAGATATCAATAATAAATTACAGTTTCCGAAGCGAAGCGAGGGCGGGTCGCTAGTTACCTATAAGTCACGTCTTCATAATCTTTCCTTCAAAATTGTTGTTGTTAGCAGAAATTACTCTTTTGGTAAAGTGTAAAAGCGTGTTGTATACTGTTAGCAGAACATGTTTTTTTTATATGATTGAAGGATTACTGGTGGTCCGGAGGCCTTTTCAGCTTCACCAGCACAGGTGGGTGAGCAAGGGCTCAGCCAGGAGGGGCGGGATTTGCTAACAGCTACCGAACGTGTCATGAGCCTACACAATCAATAATACATATATAAAATTGCATATTTTTCAACCCGAAACAATTGAACTGTATAGTAACAACTCCTCAATCGGACTTTTTGTCAAGTTCTAAGATTAATTTTATTTTAAATGTTTTTCTTAATATGTAACACATTTTTACAACATCTTTATAGAAGAATGAAGAAAACTTCAACGTTGACCAAATTAATTTCAGTAGGTACCTATGTGATGAAAAAATTTACCAAACTTGATTTCAATGGAGTTTGATACCTCTATATTATGATTTAGTGGCTTAAAAGTTATTCTATTCCAATAGATTTCGACCAAATGTGTCAATGTGGTCGGCGGAATCAGGAGGACTTTAGGCATCGCCTAAAGCCGTAGAGAGTCGTCGTCGGTGTCATAATCTATCTACATATATTGTATATAAAAATGAATTGCCTGGACCGATTTGGCTAATTTTGGTCTTGAATTATTTATGGAAGTCTAGAGAAGGTTTGAAAGGTAGATAAATATGAAAATGCTAGGAATTAAATAAAAATAGCAATTTTATTTTTCCTTTGATGTGTCCCCCGTCGGACGGATTCCTTTTGTTTTTTTTAAGTTTATTTTATACAAAAGCTTAGGTCTTTTATTTATCGATTGAGGCACTACGAAGTCTGTCGGGTCAGCTAGTTAAAGATAATTTAAATATTTACATGAAAATTCTTCTCCTTGATCTGTCGCTTCCTGTGAGATTCACCAAGTTTAGTCATCATGGCAGCAACTATCTCAGGTTGATTCAGATTGTTGACGGCCAAATTCAATGACGTCATTAAATTGATGACGTGCGCCTTGAACTGCGGGTTCTGCGAGTACTCCTCCTCGGGAAGCTTCCGGACCATTTTGAAATATTCTTTGGTGTCAGGATACGTGTTGAATAGTCTGTAATGGAAAAAATTATACATTTTTATTCCTTAATATATATTTTTTCCAAGGATAGGTGAAATTGATCATGGCTCACTTAGTGTTACACGTTCACGCGTTACGTTATGATATAAGATGTCATAATGTGACTATCTCCAACCACGGTGCTACACGAGGCCTCAATTGAATTGATATGGCGACTGTTCCATCCTTCCACAATTTCACACTGGGCGTTCTGTTTTAATAGTACCTCATAGTTATAGATTCATCTCTCTCACACACTGCATTAAATTGAAGTTACAGCGTCGGAATGACAGATAGGCTTAAGTTATTCTTACTGCAAGCGTGATATGAACGAGGTCTGTTAGACCTCGTTTCGGTTTTTAAAGTATTAAGCAGCTACTCTCGATTTGCTCGTATTACGACTTCTTAATAAATGTTCTCGAACCATATCGAGGGGTGAAATGTTCTTTGGTTTAAGAGACATTAATACGCGACATTTATCTTTATAATTAAACGTGGGTTTTTTTTTGTATTTTTTTTTATTGCTCCGGTGGATGGACGAGTTCACAGCCCACCTGATGTTAAGTGGTTACTGGAGCCCAAAGACATCTACAACGTAAATGCGCCAACCACCTTGAGATATAAGTGCTAAGGTTTTAGAATAGTTACAACGCCTGCCCCACCATTCAAACCGAAACGCATTACTGCTTCACGGCAGAAATAGGCAGGGTGGTGGTACCTACCCGCGCCGATTCACAAGAGGTCCTACCACCAGTAATTACGCAAATTATAATTTTGCGTGTTTCATTTTTATTACACGATGTTATTCCTTCACCGTGGAAATCAATCGTGAACAGTTGTCGAGTACATATTTCATTAGAAAAATTGGTACCCGCCTGAGATTCGAACGCCGGTACATCGCTCAACACGAATGCACCGGACGTCTTATCCGTTAGGCCACGACGACTTCAGATCAAGTAGAAGAGTATCAACAGTTCGATAATTTTAATTGAACTTCAATTAAGTTTCAATTCAAATAGCTGAAGAAGTTTTTTGTTAAGATATTTTTCACAAATTTTAAAACGTAAATGGTTCTTCTTTAAAGTTGCAAAAATTGCGCTTATATTAAATAGTCTTTCACCCTTCGATATATAAAATGGAATAGTACTTAAAGAATTACTGTTAATAGGGTTTACTATCGTCATTCATTTTGATTTGATTGAACATAATTTAATATTTAGGTTAAGGATAAATGCTGATAGTATGCAGTAGTGGCAAGTTGAATTGCTTGAATTAAAAGCAAAGGTTATCGGACGCCTCTCTGTTCTCACAAGAGATATGATCGCGCGTCAGTAGAAATTAAATAGGCTATATTGCGGGTAGTTTGAATATTTCAATAAATTTAGTCTCTATTTTCTTCGCGATATTTAAGTAATCACGCACCTAAGAGTGACAGGGTCTACCCATATTGTTATTTTCGGGTTTAATATTATGTGCTTTATTCAAGAATTTGATGAGCGTTTTAGCTTTAGTTCTCCAGCTTACTACAGCTAATCAAGCTATTTTTTGAGATCGTTAATTACAAGAAGCCTACGTATAAATTCAACAATGTAATCCGGCTTTTATATCGGAAGCTGTTTCGTAATATTTTCTTTTCACGTGTCACCAAGATAATACAAAAGTAAAAACCTATAATAAACCTTTGTTGACTTGATCAAAATTCATATTCGAAGCTCAAATAAATATTAATCATTTTCCAAGTATATTTGCACAGAAGTTTGTATAAGAAATAATTTAAATATATAATAATTATGTTTTAGTATTTTTAGTAGAGAGACATAGAGAGAAGATGCATGTGACTAGGATATGTATGGAATGGTAGAGGAGGAAGAGGTCGACCGAAGAAGACATGGATGGAGTGTGTGAATGACGATATGAGAGAGAGAGGAGTGAGTGTTGAGATGACGGCTGATAGAAGAGAATGGAAGAGAAAAATTAGCTGTGCCGACCCCACCTAGTGGGATAAGGTGTAGAAAAAGAGAAGAATTATGTTTTAGTATTTTTATATATACATATTTTAGTTTTATATAGTTTTAACTTCGTAGCAGCTCAATTTGTTAATTATAATAAATGTAAAAAAATGTCAGTAGCATTCAACTGAATGCTTGTTTCAAAACTATTCTCACTATCCTCACACCTATATAGTCGTATAATAGTTTAGAACGGTTTTTGTATTATTTAAATAAGAAAATTCTAACACTTCTGTACAACGATGAAATATTATTTCGAACGCTAATTCTAGCGTTCTATTCAAAACGCTAAGCGCCAGTGTAATAAAAGTGTTACAAATTAAAATTATACGACACCGCATATACGTAAACCAGTTTACGGCCTATTCGGTTTCAGGTCTTGGCCATAAAATCTGACAGGTTATAGCCGTTAAGGCGATGCGAGTTTATTGAATGAGCGAAAATGCTTAAAACGTCCTGAGCGGCAACGCAGACGTCATTCGTTTCGGTAAAATTTTAATGAATATATTTCATCATAGCAGTTAGTGTGGTTATTCAGTCAGTAAGTATCTACAGTCGGCATCATTGCGCCACTTTGAGAAGGCGGCACGACATGAGAACCCTCTTGTCGTGGCCGCTGGAAATTACATACCCGATCCTGTAGACCGAACGGTAAATAGTCGACGTCGCCCAAAACACGTCATTACGGATCCTTCCGACCCATTAATGATGCTTTTAGGTACCACAAACAACAAAGGCTCGACGAGTGAATTAACCCACAGACATAGCCCACTGAGTTTCTCGCCGGATCTTCTCAGTGGGTCGCGTTTCCGATCCGGTGGTAGATTCTGCGAAGCACTGCTCTTGCTAGGGCCAGTGTTGGCAACACTCCGGTTTGAGCCCCGTGAGCTCACCTACATGTTAGTGCGAAGCTGAAATAGCCTCTCAAGGCTATCAGCATAGGTAGGAAAAAAAGCGTGGTGAGACTCCCGAAATATTAACATTACGCTTGTAACTCTTTCATGAAAATTCATTTGTGATAGATAGTTTGGCACAAGTTTTTTTTTAAATGAAAGTTAGTAGAGTAAGGACGTATACGCCACATTGTAATCTTAGTACACGGTGCGTTTTGCGGAATCAGTCTTAGCGCCCTAACTAGGACTGTTGGAACATTGGGAAAATAAATAAATTTGTGACTAAAATACTCGTTCAGTTGTTCCGTGGTAATTGTCACACGGTGTATTCTCGTAGTCGTGGACATAATAGTTTATTGAAATCACAAGAAAAATATTTGTTAGGCGATCGGAAAGTTCAATGTTAGGAAGACGAGAATACGATCTCTTATAGATCGTAGCAAATAATATAATGATAATAAAAATATAAAGATCACACCGTAAAAATAATTATTTATATCTACCACTCGGAAAAACTGAAGAAAATCGATACTAATTATCCTTATTTCGAAATCATGTAATACATTATTTCCGTACACTTTTCATTCATATTGCACATCCAGTGAGTGAATTAGTCGTTGTTTTTGTGTACTTTGACTGAAGGGGATGGCTCGAAAGCAGACACACTGTAATGAGTAAAAGTCAAACAGAGAGTTGAAAGACGCGAGTGTGTCAACAACGGATGCGTGTGTAATGACTAGGTTGGATATTTCTTTATGAGTTTTTGGGGTGGTTGTTACATTTTGTTGATTTCCATATTATATTTGTCTAAAATGCTTCACTTTGTGTCACGGGCGACATTTATGTAGCCACTGAAGACTAGACAGAGCTTGAGATCTCTACCTGTCTAGTGCCTTAACAATCTTCTGAATAACAATCATAAATCATCATGTAAGACCTTTTGGTCTCTTAATTCATAATTCAGTTTTCCTACTTTAGTAGTCGTCGTGGCCTAACGGATAAGACGTCCGGTGCATTCGTGTTGAAGCGATGCACCGGTGTTCGAATCCCGCAGGCGGGTATCAATTTTTCTAATGAAATACGTACTCAACAAATGTTCACGATTGACTTCCACGGTAAAGGAAATAAAAAAATGAAACCCGCAAAATTATAATTTGCGTAATTACTGGTGGTAGGACCTCTTGTGAGTCCGCGCGGGTGGGTACCACCACCCTGCCTATTTCTGCCGTGAAGCAGTAAATGCGTTTGGTTTGAAGGGTGGGGCAGCCGTTGTAACTATACTTGAGACCTTAGAACTTGTATCTCAAGGTGGGTGGCGCATTTACGTTGTGAAGTCTACGGGCTCCAGTAATCAATTAACACCAGGTGGGCTGTGAGCTCGTCCATCCATCTAAGCAATAAAAAAAAATGCGTCCAAATACAATTAATATTCTATCATTTTCTTTGTTTTTTTTCAATAATAATTGTTTATTTACTATAATTTTGTATTAAGTAACTTAATAACGCAATTAGTGTTCACTTTTACATGCCACGCCCATCTTTCATTAGCATGCATTTAATCATTTTTTCTTGGGATTTAAATTTTATTTTTTTAAATATATTTATAGTGTTAGTGTAATACTATTACATTATTTATTATTGTTCAGACGGGTCTTAAGTTACCGGAGCCACCGCCTGACTCGAGACATGAGGTCTAAGTCTTGAATAAGTAGTAAAATAGCTGTCATACCAGAGCGAATGACTGCTATTCTGCTGAAATAGCCTGGGTATTATATACCCATGCGGGCTTATAATTTAGTCTAGCACCATTAAAATATTAATAAAATGTTTCTATCGTAATGGATCCTTAGGTACAACAAACGGAACGTATTTTTAATACTTTCGGATGATCACGAAGACATTGTTGTATCTTCTTTGTTCTTTTTCGTTTTGAGTATATTGTTAGCTGATGTTTCTAGGTGTAGCAAGTGTGATAACTCACAATTCATCTTCAATTATCGTAACGAGACACTTAATTTCGTCTAATTTAGATCAATAAAACTGATCAATAAGATTTCATCATCGCTTTTATAGATGTCGGGTTTTACTGACGGCACGGAATATTTTATTTTATATGTTACTAGCGATCTGCCCTCGCTTCGCTTCGGAAACTGTAATTTATTATTGATTTCTCCACTATTTAATGGATGTTATTATACATATAAACCTTCCTCTTCAATCACTCTATCTATTAAAAAAACCGCATCAAAATCCGTTACGTAGTTTTAAAGATTTAAGCATACATAGGGATATAGGGACAGAGAAAGCGACTTTGTTTTTTATACTATGTAGTGAATAGATGCTCGCTGTTAAGTGGTTTCAAGATGTCGTTGATATGAGATCGTATATGTCACCAGACACTCTGGAATGTGAGGTCGAAATATCAATTGTAAGTTCAATGTAACTTACCAGTTCAGTCTTTAATTGACAACAATTTTAATGTTGTAGTGTTTTTTTCCTTACCATACACTGGTAACCTATGGGGTTATTCTAGCTACGTGCCGACGGGTAGGTGAGCTCATGGGCTCAAACAAAGAGAATTTGCTAATACAAGCCCTAGCAAGAATAGTGTTTCGCAGAATCTACCACCGGATCGGAATCGCGACTCAAGGCGAAAAAAGAAAGCCCATATACATATGTACATACATACAATATTTTTGCGCATCCGTTTAGTTGATTGATTTTACTACTTGAACTCTTTTAATGATTAAAACAACGTTAGTCTTATCTTATCATTCTGCTTTACTTTCATGATTGTGCATTTCAGTATGGAAGCAAGAATAGTGCTTCGCAAAATCTACCACCGGATCGGAATCGCGACCCATTGAGAAGATCCGGCGAAAAATTCGGTGCGCTGTGTCTGTGGGTTAGTTCGCTTGTCAAAATATTCGTCATAATCGACGAGTTCGACGAGGTCGGTGCTTGAAGAGCCTAAAAGTACCGACAGTGAATTTGGGGATGCTTGGGGCGACGGCAGCTTTGCGTTGCCTCGACGCCCGGTTCGGATATTTAATTAGCGGCGACCACGATAAGAGACATCGTGTCGCGTCGCTTTGCCGAAGTAGCGTTCTGACTCTACCATAAGATACGTATCGGTTCTACATTTAGATCGTTATCAAGATCAACATTGCTAACGTGCCACGCTGCTCCGACAGCTATCCTGCAGGAACGGGAGTGGATGACCTGGAGAGAGTTTATGTGTATGCGGGCAACGTTAGTGAACACTACACTTGCATAGGTTATGATGGAAAATATTATGGCTTGGTGTAATTAATGTGATGGTTTAGAAATTATGTAGTACTTTAATAACGGAGTTGAAATTAATGGCCAAATGTCAGAGCTCGTGATAGTTGCGAGATAAATTTTATTCAATTTGCGTTAACTGAAACCTGACTTTGTTTTTTAATTGGTTTGAAAAAAGAAGGAGGTTATCAATTAGATTGTATTTTTTCATGTGTGTTAATTTCAGAACTTTTTTCTAAGTTAACTAATTTTGAAGATTCTTGCATATGTAGTAGAAATTTTATTTTTCTTATTTTATTTTGTTCGACTCCTTTTGTGTTCTTTTTTGGTAAATTTTTCTATTTCAGTATGTAAGCTTTCCATATTTATTTTTATGTAAGTCTAAAGATCATAGAAAATCTCAACGGACATAATCTATTAACTGTCGGATTGATGGCGGATTGGCGATTTTTTTGCAAGAACTCTTGACCGTGACTCAAGAATTTATTATAATATACCGAAATGGAAATGAAAAATAAACCAATAAACATTTTTTTGTATCAATTAGATCCGAAATAATTGTTTGGCCTTTGCAACTCTGCAATTAAGTTCATTAACTGGTTACTACCTACTAGATAAAATGTTTTTGTTCGGTATTTCGTTAAAGCAGTTTATAATCCAAATTCGTATATCAAGGTTTACTTGTATACGTGGCTTGTCGATTCGGCCAAATTGAAGTACTTTCGTATCGATAAAATATTGTGTCGTGCTGATTGTTAGCGGAAGAGAAGTCGGGGAGCGGTTGAGTGGTATTTTGAGGGTTTCGTAATGTTATTTCAATTAACGACTTCATCGTGTTTTCAATAATTTAAGAGTGTTTTGCCTTCTGAATATCTTTCTCTCTTCAGTCGGTCCCTCACTGCTCAGGATCGTGACTCCATTCGATTCCGTCAACCAGCTGTCTCCATCGATCCCGTTTTGTAGCTTGGCGGAGTGCGTCGCTGACAGGTATCCCCAGTTGCTCCACTATTTGGTCCGACCATCGTTTGGGACCTCTACCCCTAGGCCTTTTTCCCTCTATTTTACCGATCACCACAAGGCGTTCCAAATTGCTGGTGTCCCTGCGTGCAACATGACCAAAATACCGCAATATTCTTTGTAGGCAGGTTGTGGATAGACTATTAGACTATAGGATAGACTATTCTGAATATACTATCAAAGATAATTTGACTTGAGAAAAAAATTTGGCTAGAAACGTTTTTCAGTTAAATTCTTGTGCCAATTTTTTTGCAATTTTGTTAAGACAGAGAGAGAGAAAAGCGTTTTAAATTATTCGGGTCTACGAACTCCTAAATAATTATTATTTATGATGTATTTAGATCAATAGTATGAAATAGTATGTAATGGTAGGAATTATAAATGTACCGTGACCACCTAGATGAGCGGTGAACCTGGTTAACCAAAAGAGCCAAATATAGATAACACACAATTGAAATTTATTCAAAGAGCCTTTTTTTTAAGATATATTTTTGTAGCTTTGTGTTTCAAAAACGATGGAAGGACCACGCGGCCGATCACCTAGCCGCTGGTGTGACTAAATAAGCACCCTAACTGCGTTGCCAGTTGCAACCGCCTTACGAGAAGCTGAGGACCGGACGAGGTGGAAACAGCTCACGAGACAGGCCACGGTCAAGTTTCAAGGACATGACCTTCAGTAATGAAGAAAGCGACGAAGAAGAAGAAGTTTCAAAAATGTTTACTCGTCTCTTACAAGTCAAGATTTTTATTTTATTTTTTTTTATTGCTTAGTTGGGCGGACGAGCTCACAGCCCACCTGGTGTTAAGTGGTTACTGGAGCCCATAGACATTTACAACGTAAATGCGCCACCCACCTTGAGATGTAAGTTCTAAGGTCTCACTATAGTTACAACGGCTGCCCCGCCCTTCAAACCGAAACGCATTACTGCCTCACGGCAGAAATAGGCGGGGTGGTGGTACCTACCCGTGCGGACTCACAAGAGGTCCTACCGCCAGTAATAATAAGTAATATTCCGTGCCTGAACTAAATATTTCGGGGAAGAGCCGTAGCCGTAGAGTTAAAGAGCCGCATAAGGCTCCCGAGCCGCAGGTTGCTGATTACTGACCTAGACGAGTACCACTCGATCTCTTCTCCTAAAAGACGATTAAAGAATTGGCCGAGAAATGAGCAGTTTTTTGCCTATGGTCTATTATACCAGCGTATTGCAGTATTGGTAGAGCGTATTGTAAGACTTCTTGGATAGGAAGTGTCTTATTTTTACTGTGAGGAAGTCATGCGTTCAGTTTGAAGGATGGAATAGCCTTTGTACAAAAAAATTTAGATTTTAGTTTCATCTTTTAAGGTGGGGAATTAAATTGCGATCTCTGAGCCCTCCGGTACTTATTTAGTACCAGGTGGATTCCACAAAAGTTTTTAACGTCGGGAGGCTAGGTTACTGTAGGAAATTGCAATTGAGAATTTTAGTGGAATGTTTAGGGAAACATTTCTAGATTAGCCGTAATTTTCCCCGATTCTTGAAGGTTTATGATCAGCTACTTAGTAACCGCAGTTGATTTATAAGGTCGCGCTACTTCGGTAAGTACGGCAACACATAAAATTTTATGACTTTTGTTCGAATGTTGAGTTCTTGATCGGTACTTACGTTTCCTACATATTTGTTCGGAATACCTACAATTTGGTTAATATTATTATATATTTGAACGCGTATATAAGTAATCAAAAGTTGAGACGGTAATTAATTGTTTTAATAACTAATAATTTATTGCAACAGAAAATAATATTGTATTCGTTAGTACCAAGAGAATCATTATCACATAATTGCTTCTATTAATTAATTAATTTTCATTTGTCAATATAATTTCATGATTATAATTACGTTTGTGCATTGATTGAACTTAATTTATCTTCGTAATTGTTTGAGAGCGTTCACTTCAATTTCAATATGCATGAATATAATTCATTTGGCGAAATTTAACAAAAAAACAAAAATGAAATAAAACCGAGAATATATTGAAACTATTTTAAGATTAAAATCCTTTCAATTAAAATAATATTACGTAATTATTTTCCGGATTGGGGATAGAGGTAAAGTTGTAGATAAACGTGTTAAAGTCATACCTTCTCAATAGTTCACTGCCGGTTGCAAAAGAGTTGGCGTTGACGGGGGCCCATGATTTTTGAACTGCGTGTATCTCTCTCCTCGTGAGCCCGGAGACCGGGTTCACGACGTCCGGATCACCACCCCACCACATGTAGCTAAACCAGGTACCCATGATTTGCTGGAACAAAAAGTACAGTTTGCTCTTAAGATTTGTTGTTGACTTTCATATTGCGGTTCTAATATAACGAAAACGTGGTTCGATCTCGGCCAAAACTTAAGTATAAGTTTAATTATAAATCTGATGAAGTAAATCGTGTAATAAAAAATGCTCTACTGGCTACGGTTGATTGCTCATATATTGGATACGATAGAATTCGACCTCAAGTCTAAGGTAGGTCATTCAATTCGTAGGTCGTTCAATTAGATCACAGACTATAAGCAATAAGAAAAGTTTGACAATAAACAAATAGTATACATGCGTGTATGTATCAAATACATGGTAGTGTCTGTAATGTTTTTTTTATTGATTTAATGTATTTTTTATAATTAAAAAAAAAATTAATATTCTGCACTCCTTCTCTATATTCTGTATAAGTGTGGGAAATTTCATACTCCTCCGTCCGCGAAATTTTCGTAAAAAGGGGTACAAAGTTTTTGCTTCGTATAACAAGACGAGTTTGTATACAATTTTAATTGTCTTTTTTCTTAGTCTCGAATTCGAAACATAATATTTTAATCCTAAACTTTTTTTTGATATCTCATCCTAAGTAAGTACCTAATCTTGTCGTAAATCGCATTAAATGTTGTAATAAACAAGTAATTTTAAAGAGTATAATGTGTATCTAAAACTATGAAGTTAAAAAAAGATAACAGTCACATGATAAAATTAGTTTTAGTAACGAAAATTGCGTGTTGGCTTTGTTGTTCTACATTGCCTCGTGCAAAGCTCGAAGTCGCATAGTTCGGTAAACCAAATTCTGCCACGGCAAACCGCAGAATGCGTAATTCGTAAGCTCTGTAGTGTGTGGAACAAGTTTATCTGTCGTTATGTGCGGCTGTGCGTTATGTGCCAACTAAATCTCCAAGATTTACTTTTAAAAAACCAGGGGTATTTTGATTACATTTATACTATACACTATATTTGATTTTATTATTGAGTTACAAGTGTTTACTTAGTCCATTGCTTGGCAATTATTTCTGTGTTGATGATATTATTTAAACGGCCGTCTGGTGTAGTGGTAAGTGACATGGTCACTACATAAGGGGGTCGCGGGTTCGAATCCCGCCAAGGGAAGATATTTGTATGATAAATATAAATGTCTTCTCCAGGGTTATGGATGTATATTAAATATATGTATGTGTATAATAAAAATCTTACATTTATTTCCGTTATCTGGTACCTGTAACACAAGTTCTTTACGAACTTATTACGGGACCAGTTAACGTGGCGTGGTTGTTAGTAAATATTTATTTATTTATTTATTATTTATTTATTATTAATGATTTCTTTGAGAATAGTTGTTATTGTTTCTTTCACTTGTTTTAGTACTTCGTTGCTTATTCCGTCGTGCTCTGAGGTTTTGTCTCTTTGCGTTTTTCATAGCGAATTATATTTCTTTTATATTATTACTATTACATGAGTAAATCGAAGTACATTTTAAAAATTCTCAACATTCATTTTAATCAATAGGCCAAAATGAAAAATCAACGTTAATTATTTACATAATATTATTATACTATCTAAATTGGCTCGATGCTATAACTATGATGCCACTACAAATGATATAAAAATAACAGCTCGGGTTAGTTGGATAAAAGAAATATGAAAACCAATTCTCCGTCTACGAAGGTAGCGGCTTGGCTGTACCCTGACATTGCTGATATCTTTAAAAAACCACGACCATTGACCATCACGTGGGCAGTCAGTCCGTCTACACACAATAAAATACATTGAGGAGTTCATAAACGTATTAGCTGACGTTAAATATTCTTTACCAGATATTTGCATTTTTGAGAGGGCGTTTCTTGGTATTCGGATGAAATTGAGATAATGGACAAAGATTTTTATAAAGGTTCTCTCTTTGGAGGTTAGTTAGTTATTTGTGCCACATAAAGCTTGCTAACGACTTAAAAAGTTCAGGGAGATACTTGCTGCACGGAATAATTTACAAGGCGTAAATTGCTCGAAATAGATTCCTCCATTTTGCGCGCGCTATTTCACTTATGGCTTGGCGTCTTTCGTGATCAGGAAATAAGTAATTTCTATTGGAGTTGATAGATATAGAAACTCCTTATCAAAAAGAAAAGAAAACATATACATAGACAGCAGTTACAATAGGTGTCAAGAAGAAATGAAAAAATGTCGGTCGATTCGTGAAGTAAAACAAAATAACAATAACTGTGATTTCGATATAAAATTCTAAAAGATCCACGTAACTAATTCTAATTTATAAATTTTTTTTATTGCCGTATAGGCAGACGAGCATACGGCCCACCTGATGGTGAGTGGTTACCGTCGCTCATGGACGTCAGCAATGCCAGAGGCAGAGCCAAGCCGCTGCCTACCGCTTAATACTCTCCACAAGCCTTGTTTGAAGAAGGACATGTCATAGCGCTCGGGAAACACTGTGGAGGGGAGCTCATTCCATAGCCGGATGGTACGTGGCAAAAATATCTCTGGAAACGCACTGTCGATGAACGTAGTGGCTCCAGGTAGTATGGATGAACTCTACTCCGGTGGCGGGCGGTGCGATGGTAAAAGCGAGATGTCGGTATCATCTCAAACAATTCCTCAGAGCACTGCCGGCACTCTGCGATTTAAAGATTGACTCTGCTACCAAGAACTTTAAATCATATCAATTTGTAACTAAATACCTTGTGTCTGGTTTTGATCCTCTTCAAGACAAGGTAGGTCGTTAACATTAAAAATATCGAAAACAAATAATAAAGCATAATGAATTTAATATTAACTAATACTTAAACTAAACGCACCTTTCTTTACGGAATGTTCCTAGCAACTGAGTCCGTATTCAACACGAATGTCTTGCAATTATCATAGCTTTGTTTGATTTCAAACAGGAACATTATCTCGGTCACAAGACTTAAATAAATAAACGGAAATGTTTTGTGTCTCGTTGTTTTATGAGTTTCATAAGTGCCTTTAAACAACACGAAATGATAAAATTGTTTTATAACACATTCACTGTACAATCACAAAATTTCCTACCGTAAAATAAATTTGCACGAGCCGTATACAGTATAAGAGGACGACGTATATAAGTATAGACGTTCTTAAAGTGATCTTCTTCTATATCGTTTCCTCAATGCTGAGGATCGCGACCACATGTGACGTTCTTCCACTGTGTTCGATCATGGGTGGCACGGACCGCATGGTACAGACTACCACCAAGTGGTTCTCCATCTGGCTGGTGTTCTGCCCGCGGCGTGCTTGCTCTCTATGCGACCCGCAATTATGAGAAGACAAAGCTCAAAGACAGCATATTAATGCTCACTAATGCAAGATTTCAATAAGGATTGGCACCAGTAAATGTGGGTTGGCGACCGAAGTATGTTGGTTTATTAATCAGAGAATGTTCCTGCCCATTCTCGGGTGAACTCCACAATCGCCTTTTACGACACCCACTTGAAGATATGGAGTGTTATATAAAATGTATAGCATAATATTCTAGATCGACATTACACGACTAAAATGGTTATGCTTATACAATTCTTTGAAATAAACTGTATTGACATCTATTTAAAAAAATAGCTCATATTGTGTTGTGAACTGTAAATCAGTTCAAATATTCAAATTGTTCATTTTAAATTTTAATTGGTTCAACACGAATATCTATAATGCTAATTTAGGAATGAGGTTACTTGAAATAGTCGGTTGCTATTTAATTGATTTCCCCATGAAAATAAATACATTAATCAGCGAATTGGCTCTAATCAGATGCAACTTTATGCTACTGACGTTGACAATATAAAATATAAATAAACAATATAACAATAAACAATATAAATTCGTTAATGGTATTGTTTCGATGTTGGCAACTACAAAATCATTTCTGAATGAAACTTATATTGATTGTCTTTAAGGTCAATGAACTGCTCCAGTGCATTCTGTTTTTAAGGTTATATCCGCGAACTGATGACAGTCACAGGACTTTTTGGCGGGAACGCGAGGAGTGAAGTTATGTGATTTGTTTTATTTTGTCTATTTAGTGTTTCTTCAGGTTTAAATGGGTAATAACGGTGGTTTATTAGCTGTTTAATATCTGTGAAAGTGCACAAATGTGGGAAAATAAAACAAAGCCACTGGACGTAACTCATCAGGATCCTCCAAAAATTCCACTGAAAAAATCTCAATAAACGCCCGCCATTTTACTGAGATTATATATCATCCCATATCATCTCATTTCATTTCATTTCACTCCATATTATCACTTTTTATAAAAATATTAATATAAATTAAAATAAGATACGACCTAAAGGTCTTAGTTACCAGGTCATAAAATCCTTTAGAAAGACGAGTCACACAATTACAGAAATTTTCAAATCGAAGTTATCATTACGGTTCGACGGGTCTTTGGTTAGTACTTCACCTGGTCTACGGGGTATGTAGTTTTAGCGACTGATGCAACTAATTCAGAGTTCATATTACGAAAGCGTGTACCAATATGTTTTTTATTAACTACGTCCCATATCACCGTGAACGATAAGCTTCATGGTTCTGCTATTCTACACTTAATGTGCATAATAAATATAAAACAATGCCTCTTGATAGTAACATTATGCATTCACTTGCGTAATACAATGCCGACTATTTGGATAGGTAACAACACAAATAATATTTTATGTCATGTATATATTTGTTTTTCTTTATTTCTAGGTTCTTTTGTAATTCAACATTATACATGTCAACAAGATTATGCACGTGACAAAGTTTTATTTTATTGCTTTTTTATTACGTTAGGTGGGTGTAGGAACTCACGGCCCGCCACTGATAAGGTTGCAGAGTACTTATACATCACAATGTAAGTACCGACGCTCATCTTGAAATATGAGATGGAAAACTCAATTGTATTAACAGCTGTTGAGTGGACTGCTGACATTTTTTCCTACCTACTCTACTTTTTTTATTGCTTAGATGGGTGGACGAGCTCACAGCCCACC